TGCATTTGAAGAGAACAGCAGAATTTCTTGAAATAACTCGGGTAACTTAATTTTAATTAAAAAATATTTTAAAACCTGCTGATTACCTATAGTATAATTAAATTTCAATATAATGCATGGTAACTGTTGGTAGTTTTGAAGTTTATATATTTTCTTGGCAAACTTCAGTTTTTGACGGTTTAAACCAGTATTATACCCTTGTCATGTCAAAAACCCAACCCTGTTTTTAATATAAATGTTCTGCTTTTTCGAAAAATTCAGCCATTGAAATAAAATAATTATATTTAATTCCGATTTTCAAAGATAAACAGAAAATTCAAACTACATAGTTGCCAATCCTTCCACATTTTTGCTTATTTTTGCTATTTTCTTCTCTTTTACGTGCAGAAGATAAGATTTTCCTCATTTTTTTTTTACCCGCCTCTAGATTCAAGCGAGCCTTTTGGAAGTCCCAAGCCCGGAATTTGTTAACATTTTGATTCTTATTCACACAATTTAAATATCGTATGTTGTGATTCTTTTTTTTATGAGATTTAAAAATCCAATATCACAACTTGTATTTTTTCGTTTTTAAAAATCTATGTAGGGATTCATATTCTGGCGAGTTTACAATCCAATGTCGTGATTTGTTCATGCAGTTATAATACAAACATAGATTTTCGTATTTTATACATTATTTTCAAATAAGACATTGGGATTCATATTCACACGATCAAAAAATTATGCGTCGTGATTTGTAGTTACGCTGTCTAAAAATTACATATTGTTCGTAATTACGCCATCTGAAAATTTTGAATTGTGATTTGTATTTGCGTGATTTAAAAATTCTATAACGCAGTTTGTAATTTTTCATTTTTAAAATCGAATATTGAATTTTATATTCACGTCGTTTCAAAATCCATTGTCGTGATTCATATTCACAAAATTTTAAAATCCAAGATCACTATTTGTATTTGCACGATTTTTAAATCAATTATCGCGATTCTTGTTAGAAGTAAGTCTTTCTTTAATGAGTTACAATATATGTGTTTTTCTATCAACAATTATTAGTGTATATAGGCATATTCAAAATTTACATTCTGCAAAATTTACATTCAAAATTTACAATTACAAAGCAAGTAAAGAAAGAAAAAATAGGATTTGTCAAAAGATGTTTGAAGATGGGCTAACGACTAAATTAATCACCAATTTGTTTCCCCTCACTCACAAGATGCATTATGAGCAATTTGATCTTGTTAAAAAAAATTTTTGCTTGTTTTGTTAAACATGAAGCATTTGCAGCAAATTAAACTAAAATAAAGAAAAACGATGTAGCAAACATAAGAGATATAGCAAACAAAAGCAATCATTTAAAAAGTGATTCTATTTTTTTGGAAAAAGAGTTAATTAACTCAGCATCAAAATGAAAAATTTAAAAGATAATGTTGCTGTTATTTATGCTATAAACTGCAAAATTCTTATCAAATGAAAGATACTAAACAGTTGCTGATAATCATATAATTTTACAAACTACAATAGCAATTATTGTATCTTAAGGAGTTACTATATTTTTCTACTTCACAGTTATTGATTTGATATGTTTCACAAGGCTTTAGTTAGAATATAATATGAACATAGTGATTCCAATTATGAAAGTTTCTTTTCTTTTTTAAATAATGTAAAAAGTCACATTGCTGATATATTTGCTATAAATCACGTAACAGCATTTATTAAAAGAAATGGATTATTAATCTATGTTCTCAGTAGTTTTAATTTGCTAAACCAGGTAGTTTTTCAAGTAATAATTGTCCCTTATGTGTACTGAAGAGAAATATAATTTCTAGCTTTGTTTTTTCAATTCATAATTTTTCTTTTTACTAAATGTTAAGTATCAATGTAATCATTTATGTAATAATAAACTAATACACAATTTTATGTCAACACATAGTTCTTTATTATCTTAAATTGTCTGGAATTTATTATTAAATTATTGCACATGCGTAAAATTTACTCATGTGGAAATTCAGCTTTTTTGCCTTTTGGCCAATCTCATCCCTGTTTAAAAATAAGACGAAAGTCGATTGTTTAAAAAAATTTGAACGATCAAAAAGAGAAAGTGAAGTTATAAATGTGTTTATTTCTTCTAGTAACTTATAAGAATGCCATCCGATGCTAAAAAACGTAGAGATGCAAAAAAGAAAGAAGCAGCAAAAGCCAGAACTCAGAAAAAACCTAATCAAAAACCTGAAGAAATCAATGGAAGTGATTCAAATGGTGTACCAGAAAAAACTGACGGCCAATTGAGCAATGGTGTTAAAATATCAACAGGTTTTTGCTTTTCATTATTAGTTTTCATAATATTAACGTTTAATTTTTTCATTATTCATTCATCATTAATTCCCTGTTGCTTGAAAATAGCAGAGCATTCTCTGCTTTGCTGCAGGGTAAATGATTTGAATCAAATTATTATTTTTTTGAAATATATCTTTTATAATTTTAGTTGATAACAATATTCATTAAAGATTTTATGATTGTAGAATAATCTAAATGGTTAGATGAAATGAGGGCCCGTATACTAATTTATTTTTCATTCACTAATTACTTTTTAAATTAAAAAAACCATTTAATTATAAGTGATTCATTATCTTTCTATTGCTTTTAAAATTATGAGTTATCATAATGAAATGTATTTAAAGTTCTTTTAATGTTTGTTAACTACAGTTTTAAGTGTAATAAAGTTTTTGTATTTTGATGCCATTAAAAATCTGTAAAATTATGTATAATTAATATAGTGTGCAACCGTTCTGCATTTCGTAAAATCTCCTGGATTTTTTCCTATTCAGGTTGGCAGCTATGACCATGTTTGTGTCAGTAACAGCACAGAAGGTCTTTATTTATAATTTAATTGCATCATTTACTTAAATAGGAATTATAAATTTCCTATTTGTATCTTCCTAATGCAGCTGAAGAGGAACTGATCAATAAACTAGAAAACAATCTGCTGTTGAATGCTGATGCAAGAGCTTGTACAGGTGTGTTGGCAGTACATCCTAGATCAAGAGATATCAAAATTGAAAACTTTTCAATTAATTTTCATGGTGTGGAAATATTGGCTGATACAAAATTGGAACTAAATTGTGGGAGACGTTATGGATTGATAGGACAGAATGGATCTGGTATGCTCTCAATTTAATTACTTGAATATATGCTGATTTGTTTTTTGGCCTTTTTGTACCAGGGTTGCCACAGGTGACTAAAATGCACAACTATTTTCAACCTGAGGCAACTACGACAACTTTTTTTTTGACTGAAAAGGTTAATAAAGCAACTATTTTCAGGAAAAAGAGACTATTGGGAGACTTTTCTGTGCTCCTAATGATGTTTTTTTTTAGCATAAATTGGGTTGATAACCCTTAACACAAGAAATTTTTTTCTTAAAAAAAAATTTAAAATTTTGAATTGCAAATTTGATTTATCACTTTTTAATGTGCTCAATTTGCGCAGATTCCGTTGTAAGTATTTTGCATTTTGATCGCGTTTTCAATGGTTATTGCTACGAAATTCTGCAGGATTTTAAAAAAGGGGAAATTTTTTTAATAAGTATTTTTCGATGCATTTCTGGTCATTAAAATATTTAATTTTACTTAAATATACTAATTTTTTTTACATAAAAATTTATTGCTAGAACACTTATAAAAGAATTATCACATTTGGAACCCACTTGACTAAATGGATCATGTTAAATGACAACTAAGTCATTTAATAAAATTTTACTAATATTATTTAAAAAATTTTGCTCTTATTTAGGCAACTATTTTCATGTCTTAGGCTACTAAAAGCAACTATTTTGTTCATTTTTTTCTGTGGTAACCCTGCAAACTCAACTTAGGGAAAAATGGTGGTTCCACAAAATACTTTTAATCTATGGAAATCCATGGAAGGGAGGAGCTTTTCCGCTGGCTGTCTTTTACAGAATGGTAGCACGCACGTGGCCAGGTAGTGTAATGTGGTAAGCCTAACAGGTTAATTACGTCTTATCAAAGCGACCTTTTTTTTTGCTGAGTTTTTTTTTTTTTTTCAAAATGAAATGAGGCTTTCTCTCTATAGACTGCACAGGAAGTGCGAATTCGAACATATTTAAATGTTCAAACATTATTCTAAATATTCGAACATTATCTTAAACACTTGTAAATTTATTCTAACAGATCTTTATTTTTTATGAAACTTTTTTTATTCTGTGGGGAAAAAAATTTCTTATGACCCTGTCAAAAATGCTCTCAAAATTAAAATAATTTTTAGTGTTAAATGTATGTTTTTATTAAATTCAAGTTGAAATTTAATTATGCACAATCAGTAATTTTATGAATATTTAAATACAATTTTAAGCCCAAAATTTTACAACAGCAGATTTTATATGGGAAAAATATGTACTTGAATTTACTAGTCATAAATAATTTTTATTTGTGGGGATAGTTTTTGAAAATATTTTCTTATTTTTTCGTACTTTATTTTTTAATATAATTTTTAATTTTCACAAATTATGTCTAAATTTTTACAAAATAGGTACCTCTTTAAAAAAAACCTAGACAGACCCTTGATTAAGTGAAAGGATTTCAGTATCCATTACTTTTAAAATTATCTACTCGAAAAAATGAAAGAATCATTTTAAATTCTAGTGAATAAGTCGAGGCAAGTATAAATAAAAATATTTTACTCTATTTAAAATGTACAAATAATTATTGTGATATGGTTTTTGTTATCTATGAAATTCCTAAAGTCTGGGATATTTTAGATCAACTATTATGTTTCTTAAATTCTAATAGATTTCTTTTTTTTTTCTTTTTTTTTTATGGTGGCAGCTATGTGCTTGTCTTTATTATTTGTATTTTGTATGTGTTCATAGCTATTAATAACTCTTCTCTATTTAACATAGCTATTAATAACTAATAGACTCTTCCCTATCAGGGGGTGATTGTATTCTAGGAGTATACCACCAGAATTCAGGCTTTTCATATTATCCTTCCGGGTTTAAAAATTAGGAGCAGGAGCTACGATTTTTTTGGGATTATCACAAATTTCTCAGAACAGTTGGTTCTTGAACTTTCGCTGATCAAAAACTTATAATACGGCGAAATGTTCACTGATTCCTCAATTCGAAAGTCACGTTTAGAAAGTCCGCAAATTTCCGCTATCGAGACGCTTACATACAGGTGATTCTGTTGCCTGTGGGCAGAAATCCGTCAACTGATTCTTTTAGTTTGGCAGATTTTATCCATTTTGAATGTTTGAAACTGCACCCGAATCAGGTAATATCACAATTCCGAATCAAGCGACCTGAATACAGGGGTGATTGTATTCCGGATTTTTCGTATCATCTGTCCAGGTCTAGGAGCAGGGCATGTGATTTTTTGCGAAATTCTGTGTATCTCAAAACTATTGATTGACAGACTTACGCAAATCAAAACTTATAATCCATCGAAATTTTCAACTCAATCAAACATTTAAAGTGAGAATTAAGTTCTGAAATTTAAATTTTTGAAACTTTCGCTAAATCGTGTTAACAAAACAAGTGACTCTTCTGCAGTTTCGATTTTTTGTTTATTGGATTTTTATCGTTTTTAATATTTGAAACTAATATCGTGATTCATAACCATGTGATCATTTTAATATCGAACATCAATTTTCGTATTTACCTGATTTGAATCATTAATTGTGAATTGTATTCAGGTGATTAAAAAAATCTTACATTTCAATTAGTATTCACAGGATTTAAAAATCCAACATCGCAATTTGTATTTACGCGTTTTTTAAATCAATATCGCGATTCCTATTCATTCGAATTTAAAATCCAATGTCGTTAGTTGTATTCACAGGATCTAAATCCAATAATGCGATATCGTGATTAGAGTTTTCGCATTCTTAATATCCTATATAGCGATTCATGTAAGAACTGAATTTTTTATTAAATTTGGTCTTATAAAAGTGTGTTTTATTTAAATGTAATTTAATTTTAAATCTTAGTTCAAAAAATTACATTAAATATGAATAGTATATAAATTTTATATATTTTCAGGTTTTTTCACTTCCTATCACAATCACCCCTGTGAATATCAAGCATTTTCGTATTTACCTAATTTAAATTGCACATTGCGATTTGTATTCACATGGTTTAAAAATCGAACCACGATTTTAAAATCCAGTATGACGATTTATGTTCACACAATTTTAAAAATCCAACATCGCAATTCATATTCATGCAATTTTAAAAATCGAACATAGGGATTGTTGTAAGAACTAAGATTTTTCTTAAATTAGTTACTATAAAAGTGTGATACTCATCATTGGTAGGTAATTTAATTATAAATTTTATTTTAAAAAAAATTATGTTAAGTACAAAACATGAATTATTATCGATTTTCTGCACATAAATTTTCAGGGTTTTTCATTTTGTAATACAATAACCCCTGCAAAAATTAACAACTCAAGACCATTCATTCGCAGATTTCTGAGAATCATAAACATAATTCCGTCAATATTTTGAAACTTTTGCTACATCCTGTTAACAAGTTTTACATTCGTGTGATTCTTTGTACAATTTGATTTGTCATATTTTGGTCCAGCCATCTAGTGTGTAAAATAAGTGGGCACATGAAATGGATATATTTAAACCTTTTTAGTGCATTACACTATAACCCAAAAATATCATGGGCACAAGAAGACGAAAGCTCTAACCGTGATTTTAACAGGAGCGAGAGGGAAGGGTTAAACAAGTAATTCCGAAATGATAATTATTTCAAAGTTATAATTATTTAAGAGTTTTTTTTTCTCATTTTTTTAAAATTATATTTTGATGAGTAGCAATTTCGTTAAAAGTTCTGATTTCTAACAGAAGAATCATTTAATTAATGTGTTTATTTGGCGAGTATCGTAACAGACGTGCAAGCAAAGGTGTTTTTCAACGACACGGTTAAGTACTACTGTTTGTGACATTATTAAAAAATCTTGGTGGTTATGGAATCAACTGTGCAAAGATTCATGCACTAATTACAGGATTCGTTGTTTGAACTGTTTTGCACATTTTATGAAAGTGTAACACAGTCATCAAGAGGTACACTTATTGAATTTCTTCAACCAAATACAGTATGAAATATTGTAGGTTGGAGTTTTCCAAAATTATTGATTTTTCTTTTTATTTGATATTAAAAGGATTGATTTCAATAAATAATACAGTAGCTGTAACCTAGAATTTTTTAAATGGTTAATTGAGGGATTTTTCACTAAATTATATTTGTACAAATATGTTAAACAGTATACTCATTGTTTCCCTTTCAGAATTGTTGAAACTTTTATAATTTTTTGATTGAAGAAATTTTGAACTCTTATTACAAACTTTAAATAAGGGTATGAAAGAATATTATCCAAATGACACTGGTTATCATTTTATGTAAGAGTATTATAAAAGTTGTTTCCATGCACTGATTTGATGCTATTTTGAATTATTTTGTGTAGATAAAATTATACTGAAAACTGTTAGCTCTCTTTCTCTAAACAAATTAATTTTTAATTTAAAAATAGTAAATTTTATTATTTTTTGCCATAAAATTTGCGTTTATTATACTTTTGTGGTGTTAATGATTTTGTTTTGTCTTTTTTTAAAAGTAGTATTGTATATGTGTACAAATATCTAATTGTTTTTTCTGCAGCCCAATATTAAGCTGTCTTATTTTGTACATTTCTATAATATTTTTTATCCCTATGGCAGAACTGTGAGGGACATTATCGCCTACCGAGTTATTGCAGAAACATTTTTCTTTAAGGCAGTAAAAAAATTGAGCTTTTTTTTCTGCAGAAAGATCTCATCTTTTCAATTATTTTTTAAGGTGCCTTCTCGCGTATCCGAGTGAATAAGAAATGTTTGATTTCTCTATTCTCATTTGAGAACAACGAAAAATAGAGAAGAATGTTTGAATTCTCTATTCTTCTTTGAGAATAATGAAAAATAGAGAAGAATGAAGTAAAAAATTTGGTTTTCTTTTCCTATTTTTTATGCAGTTCTTACTATTGATTTCCACATAATTTTAAAAATCCGATACTTTTAATCGATATTTTTTATTACAGCTGAATCTCGAAATAAAAACGCGCATTTGATAGGCCCCCTTTTCTTTTCTTTTTTTTAAGAATCCGATTTGCATGATTTCATCTATCTTTGTTTTTTTTTTTTTGCTGGTTATTGCTGCGAATTTTATAATTCTTTTTTCTTAATTTGATGATTTACAAAATGCTAAAAAGGAAATAAGTGTGTTTTCCCCCTACAAAATGCAAGAATATTGCCCATATAATATTAGAATTAAAAAAAATTATATATTTAAATAAATTATTTTATATGATCCGAAAAGTTTTTTTTTTTTAAGTTAAATCTTCTGTTATTTTAATTTAATAACAAGTATATTTGTTATTTTTAAAAGTATTAGTGTTAGAGAGATATGTCGCAGAAATTCTTTATTCTGTTCTTTATTTATTTGGCATATATATATATACAGAGCACCTGCACTCATGGAAAATCATGAATTTCGGTATTGAGCAAAATTTGTTATGAAATCTCATGATTTTAACTATTTTTTAAAAAAAATCATGGAAAGTCATGGGTTTAGGGCTCTGAAAAATCTAATTTTTAAAATGGAATTTAACCCTTCCCCCCAGTTTCATGGTGTTCCGAACATCTGAATTTGTAACAAAATCCTCACTCAGTCATGTGTTATTAAAATAAAAAATGTTTTTATCACATTCTTTAAAAATTATATTGTTCTTTCAAAAAATGAAAGAAAAAACATTTCTAGAACTAATTATCTTTACAGAACTTATCTTTACAGATGCAACTTCCCTGATTTCAGAAGTTTTTTTTATTTATTTTTATTTTATCAATTTCAAATTCTTACTGACGCAAGCCAGTTATTGGTAATTTTTTTAATTCCGAAATGAGAACAGAAAAATCAGGAGTATTTCTTTCCTTACTGATAAGCAAGAAAAGTATCTTTAGAATATAATTCTGCAGGGGAAAAAAATATTATTTGCTTTTGTATTTTTTTCAACCATTTTATTGCTTCATATTGCTTTCTTTTCTCTGTTTTCTAAATTTGAAGTCTATAAATATGAAGATGCAGAGTAAAACAGTTTTGGTTATACCTATCATTTCAATTAATGTTATTATGTTTTTTCAAAAAATTTATTGTTGTGTTATTGTCGAAGAAAACGGTAACGTCGTTAAGTCATGAATTTGAAAATCTAAAATGTAGCAGATACCCTGTATTATTTTTCTTAAATTCTACTGGAATTCTTTTTTTTTCCATGGTGGCAGCAATGTGCTTGTCTTTATTTGTTTTTTTTTTTTGTATGCATACATAGCTATTTATTTGAAAATATTGTTCTCTTTAGAAATTACTCTTTTTTGTTGATGGTAATACACTCTTCCATATTTAAATTAAACAACTTAAGCAGGGTGGCCACCCACCTGGAAAATCTGGAATTATCAGGGAATTTTTTTATACTGGAAAAATCAGGGAAATTTGGATAAAAACCTGAAAAAATCAGGAAATTTTAAAGAAAAGCTGGAAATTTTTTGATTTTTTTTTTTTTTAAATTTTACTAATTTAAATTATTTTACCATCCGTTATACACACTTTTTTTAAGAACTGTATATCCAACCGATTCATATATCTTTTAACTTAACGATGCTTTGCTTACAACAAAATTTGCTCCATAATTATCCTGTTCAACTAGAATGCTTTATATAACTCTCCCATGGTTGCTAAATTAATCGATAAATTTTTGACATCTATGGAGGCTATGGGACTTTACAGTTTAGAAATGGCAAAAATTGTGGAAGAAAGGAATTGTGGAACCTTCTCTTTTTAGAAGGTTATTTTTTTCTTCAAGTCCATAGGCAAGGGTTTAAGTTTGTTCGGATGCTTTGGTAGTTAATTTTTTTCTATTTTGACAAAATGATAAAAAATGTTTTAGTATTTTTAACTTTATAAAATTCTCCAAAAATTAGTTGGTTATAATTTAATAACAATAGATTTTATATTGCACTCTTTATCTGAAAGCTTTTGTACTCCCATGCAATAAAATCTGTGAATCTCAGCAAAGCCTTTTCTTACAATCGCTAACAGCTATGTGTAGACAAATCTTTATAATTGTTGCATTAATTCTAATTTTCTCAATTTCATTTTAACCTTTTATGACACGTATTTTAATTAAAGAAAGGTTCTTTTAAGAACTGTAATGAAGAAAGCTTTGCTGCTTCCTTCATTAGGCGTGNTTCTTATAAGAACCAACTATATGTTAGCATTTAATTTTACTTTTTTGTTGGTAAATATTTGATTTTTTATTCAAAATTCTGGAGATGTATTCCTATTGTATAGTAATCACAATTCAAAAATGTTGCTTGCGTTCCAGGGAGATTTCTAAGTAGACAAAAGAAAATATAGGAAACATGTTAAATGATGTGTAAACATAGAATATAAAAATGTGTTTATTAAGAAGGACAGGTACTGTACAGGTTTGCACTGTACAGGTACAAGTTTCTAGTTATAAAAGCAGAAACAATTAACTATGTCAAACTAACAAAAAACATGTATTTAGATTCGAATTCTTTAAATATTTTAATTTCAAATTAGAAAAAACAAAGCAGAATAAATTTTAAAGAATTTGCAAAAAGAAATTGGAAAATTTTGTATTTGCGACATTCTTTTTTGTGTACAGAATCTCTAAAAATAATACTTATACAAAATAACATTATTTAAGCATTTGACTTGAGATACTGTTTTAAGGAAAATATGATCAATGAATTTTATAAAGAGCACTTAAATAGAGTATAAAATGGCTTTATATTGAAATGTAAATACAGTGTTTGTACACTTAAAACTTTCAATGAAATAAGACCATTAATTGTTATTAATATTTCAGAACGGATATTTAATATTAAAAAATATTCTATTCTTAGCAAAACTGTTTGAAATATTTTAAAAATAAAACAAAAGTTTATTTTTAAGAAATCAGTACTTAAAAAGTAACAAAGACTTGATCTCACAAAAGTCATCGTACACTTTCAAAAAAAACTCTCCACCTATTAGTAAATATTTTTTGTTAAATTAACATTTAGTAGAGTTTCCTTTCGCATCTACAATAGCTTTTAAAAGTATGTAAGTAAATGTAACTAGTTTTTTTTTTGTCAGGTGAAATTTGAGCAGAATATTTTTTATTAAGTTTAACAAACTTTTACCACACTCAAATATGAATTTTTCCACAAATTTTATAATTTTAATCTCTGATATGAAGTCCTTTTAAGCATTTATCACATATTGCACATTGGAATAGGACACAATAAACTAATTTAGTGATATTCATTACTGTGATATACCTGTTATGATGACACATAATCAGCTTTCAAATGTTGTCTATTGTATTACGACCAAAGCCATTTTTAAATAACGAACAAAAATATTACGGAGTTAGAAAGTAAAAATTAAAATATAATTTTGCTATCATAAGATTGATACTAAATTACAAATAAATAAAGAATTTAAAGCAATAGACCATAATTTTAATTCTGATATCCAAAAACATTTAAATGTATGATGACTTTAGTGAGGTAAAATTTTTGTTACTTTTTTATTTTTGATTTCTTAAAAATAAACTTTTGCTTTGTTTTTAAAATATTTCATGCAGTTTTGTTAAGAATAGATTATGCATCTTATTATTGAATACCCATTCTGAAATATTTATTTTAATAGAATAGAGTCCTATTTGAATAACAGTTATAAGTGAAAGAACACTTTTGGGAGCCACTGTAAATATAAAAATTGATAATTAGTAATTTATTGATTATTAATAATTTAATCACCTGGAATGGTTTTCTTTTTCTTAATGAGATTATATTAAACAATACTTATCCAAGATTTTTTATCATTCTGTATTTGCCATTTGGTACATGAAGTAAGCAAAAACTACATGAAGCAAAAACTGCATTTTTGAACTTTGAGCAAAAACTACACGAAGTAACACATTAAAAATTTTTTATTCAGTATATTCTACAAGCTAAACATATTATTTTCTCTCCATGTTTATTATTTTTTAAAAATTAATATTGTAAAAAAACATTAAAAAATAAAAAACAATCTTTCCAAATTGTCAAAATAAATTTAGTCTAGTTATTTTTTCAAGATGATATATTAAAAAAATAACATTTTAAATAAAATACTTTATTGACACTTTACTTGTACCCATCCTACACTTTATGAGAAGAAAAAAATACACGCTGACCTGGAAATTTTAAGATTTTTACCTGGAAAAATCAGGGAAATTTGAAACCTGATTTGAGTGGCCACCCTGTTAAGACCATTCATTCGCGGATTTCTGCAAATCATAAACGTGATTCCGTCAAGATTTTGAAACTTTTGCTACAACACGTTTTACATTCATGTGATTCTTTAAATTATTTTTTTGATTTTGCATATTTTGATACATCAAATATTTTATTGTCGTTCGTTTTAGGAAAATCAACTTTGCTGGCTGCTTTAGGTCGACGTGAAGTGCCTATTCAAGACCACATTGATATTTATCATTTAACGCGTGAAATGGAGGCTAGCGAGAAATCGGCTCTTCAAGCAGTGATGGATGTTGACGTGATGAGATTAAGATTAGAAAAGTTGGCTGAAGAACTCTCTCAATTCGATGATGAAGGTTAGTTAATTAGGATCTTTTAAAGTAAAATGTTTTAGGTAAAATTTTTATTCAAAATTTTTTTACTTTCTATTTTATTTAAAATCTATTATTTTATGGATTGTACTTTGAAATAATAGTTAGTAATTTTTTAATCCTTTCCAAAAATATTGTTACTATAAAAGAACTGCAACCTATTATGGAAAGTGTAATGAGATATACTTTATTTATTGGTAAATATTTTTGAATTGAATAATATTCAATATATTACTACTGCCTGAATTTTATTTTTATTGCAATTAGATTATTTTTATGGTTGGAGCCTACAGTTTCATTAATTGTAAATATGTAAAAAAATATTTTTGGTATAGAAGTAAATTAAGTTTGAAAATGTTCATATTGCTTAATTAAGTTTTTTAAATGATTATTAATGATGCAAATTAACACTACTTAATATTTTTCGAAGTCTTCTATAAAATAAAGCGTTGCTAATTTTTTAACAATTACCAAAATTATTGTTACTATGAAATAACTGTAACTCATTAGAAAGTGTATATGTTAATGTTCTATGAAGTATCCTTTATTAGATTAATAATTGACAAATATTTTCCAATTGAAAAATATTAATTGATTTTTATTGCAACTATTTGTACAATTTGTACTATTTTTGTTGAACCTTGGTGTTCCCAATTAAATTATTTGTAAATATATAAAAAAATCATGTTAAGTGTTTTATTTTGTTAATACTCATATTACTTTGTAAATATTTTTTAATGTTCAGAATTTTTTTTTAATTAAAAAAAATTATGTCAATTTTAAGGGAATTTTGATATTTAAAATTCTTTAGTTGTCTTAATTACCCATTGAAATTAATATTTTGGTCTAGAATATTGTTATTTTAAAAATAATCTTGAAGTTTAAATTGTAACTTACTGAAAGGTATGAATATTCATTGGTAATCATACTTTGTGAGATTATTATTCATAAATGTTTCTTAATTAAAATTCATTCAAATAATTATATTTATATCTTTAGATGTATATAGAGAATATCTTGTTTGAGCTAAATCAAACGTGATAATTCTTCAAAAATGTTTCTAATAACCTTTTTGAGTGATTGCAAATTTAGAAAAAAAAATCCTTAAATTTTTTTTTCTTTCTTTAGTACTAATTGACCACTTTTACCCATGGATCTACCGAAGAAAAAAAAATGTTCTGGCTGCTTTGATTTCTAGAGCGTTAAACAGTGTTGACTTAAATGCTTTTTAAATGGGTTCAATAAAACAATCTTCTGAGTTTCCAATGAGAACATCAGTCTTTCTGGGTAAAGTTGTGTCACTGAACATTTTACAAAGTAAATGACACATATATCGACTGCAACACACATATAATTTCTTTTGAATTTTTTCAATATCCGATTTAATGTTTGCTCCCATGATAGAAGATGAGTAAAAAATAAGTGCGATATACCAGCGACTGATCAAGAGTTTTGACGCTTAAAAAGTCTAACAATATTTTTATACCAAATATAAATCATGAGGCAAATTTGCGAACAATGTTGAGTTTTAAGAGGGGTACTGTTGAAATAATAGCTGAAAACAAGTAAAAATTACATTTTATTAAGTCATCTCACAAGTGTCAATTTTTAAATAATATGCTTTTATTGTTTTTCCATGAGTTTAGGTGTTTAAAAATACTAGTCCAATGGAAAAGGTTAAATAGGAATGTAATTTTTTAATTGATTATTGTTCTCATTTCTTTTAAAGAATCCCAAGAACAATTGATGGATGTCTATGAAAGATTAGATGAAATAGGAGCTGATAAAGCACAAGCAAAGGCTGCTTACATACTTCATGGTTTAGGGTTCACAAAAATCATGCAACAGAAAATGTGCAAGGATTTCTCAGGTTTGAAATTTAAAGTTGTATCCTGTTATTTAAAAGGAATTGTACTGGACAAATAGCTTAAGATTATTAATGATTCATTTTAGTGTGAAAGTACAAGCGTAGATGATTTATATGTACCATACCTCTGGCATGGCTACAGGATTATTTTTATCTCAGATTTAAAAAAATAGAGATATGTAATGACATAGCTGCCAACTCTACTGGATTTTGGCATTTTCTCCTGGTCTACTGGTTTAAAAAAAATTCTTCTGGTTTTTGTACATATTAGAAAATTCCTTAAAATTATATCTTAGAAAAAATCCTTATTAAAATAGAATTTTTTCATAATGTATTGTTTGCTTGCTATTAGTTTTACTAATACATAATGAATCTCATTTAGAGTATTCAGAACTAGCTTTGTAAATTAATTAAAAAATATTTTTTACTGTAATAAATTACTTCTCTATTACTATTAAAAATAATGAGTTAACATAATGAAAAACCTTTCAAGTTCATTCCATATCAATCATAAATGTAAAATATTGCAGACCATTTATAGTTATTAGTGTAATAAAGTTTTTGTATTTTGATGACAAAAATCCATAAAATTCCCCACTTGTAAAATAATTAGTATATCAAATAGTTATCATGGAATTTATATTTCGTAAACTCTACTGGACTTTTTTCTATCCATATTGGCAGATATGTAATAATAAATACAATGTAACTAATAAATATTATCTTCTAACTAGACAATGTGCTATTTTTTATATTTTTTAAGTAAATAAAATTGAAAGAAATGGAAAAGTAAAGATTTTTCTTTTCTATTCTCATTGATTAACAATAACTCTCTCTTTTGAAATCTGACACCCAAAATAGGGTATTAGACAGGTGCAGCTTGCAAGAAATGCTTTGCTAGGACAGTTTAGAAAACCTGGAAAAAAAAAACATAAAGAAATTTTAATAGTTTTTTCTTGTTTTGAATCTGACAATACGATTATCTGGTTTGATTTTATACAGTAGAGAACCATTTATCTGGTATCCAGATAACCGGGAAACCAGAAAAACGGGAAAATTTTTGATTGGTTTTCCCGCCATTTTAAACTAGAACGATTATGAAAAAAAGCGGAAATTGAACTCATCCTTGAAGTTGAGTAGAGGAAAATGTAAGGAAGGGGTGAATTTTTTCCCCGTTTACCCAGAGAAACGTCATTTCCTCCTTGACCTTGAAGGCAGGGAAGGGAGGAATGTTTTATTTTCTCCTTTAGGCCGTCAATCAAGCTCAAGGGTGTGGCATGCTGATTTCGTTTTCTGTTTGATTTACGAGGGGGGTGGGGAAAATGCATTGCATGCATATCAGTGAACAGAAGATGAAAGAGAAAAATATATTTATCTATTTGACATCGATTAATAAAAATAAAATCTTTTTCTTCTGAATAAATTTTCATTCTTTGGAAGTGCGGTATCATTTGCAAGTTTTTATTGATGTGGAATCACATCTGCTGTAATTAAATATTGTGTTTTTATCAACAAAAAAAAATAGAAGGAGAATTGATTATTAATTTAAACATAGGATTATTTTATGAAGCAGATTGCAGTTTTGTTTTTCTGATTCCACTACGTTTGATATTTTTTTCTTTTCACGATAATTTTCGCACTCAATAAATTAATTCTTTTTATTCATAAATTTTATCATTAGGTTTTTTTTAAAAATTCCGTTGATGTAGCCTTGTTCCGGGTTTTAATATTTATGCTAGTGCCTTTTTTAACTATCGTTTCGGTTTGATAATTTTCAAGTGTTTTTAGTTAGTTAATTAGTTTTCCTTTTATTTAATCGTTTCCCCCGTATAATTAGGTATGAAATATATTGCGTTATTTAACCATTGGTTTTGTTTATATTAGTTGATTTAGGAATTCTAATTATTTTTAAAAAATAAATGCGAGAATTTTGTAATTTTTAAACTTGTTTTTCTTTTCTAAACTTGCTAATTTTTTTATTCTTTTAAATGTTATTTTTCTATCATTTTTTTCTTTTTAAAGTTAGGAGTACCTTTTTTTTCTCTTACTTTATGCATTACACTTTTTCCTTGTAATTCGGGTTTGATAAAACATCGATTAACGACACTTTTTGGTCAATCCAGAAAACCGGAAAATTCAGACATCCGGGATAGCGATGGTCCCAAGCATCCAAGATAATTGGTACTCTACTGTATTTACATGAGTCTGATTTTATATTAAAAAGTTTTGACTCTGTGTATATTTACAGTATTATTGCAAGTTTCAAATTAAGTTTTAAAAAAGCATTCAATTTTGTGCAGGTTTTTTATTTATCTATTGTTTGCAAGTGCAAATTTCGCTATAGTATGCATGTTTGAGTGAGCCAATTTTATACAATAATCTGAAAATGTTTTATCTGGAGTGATATAGAAATATATAATATAACTCTTGATCACTCTAGTTACTTAGGCGGTTTAATTACCTTTTTAATCATTATATCAGTTTAAATTTAAATTCCTATATTTAAGTAGTTGCCAACTTGTAGAGCCGTAAAAATAATTTTCTTAGTGGTCGTAATAAATCTTGAGTTTCATGGTTTCAAAACTTTTTTAACAAATAAATAATTGAAATGAAAATGCGTATAAGTAATAAAAATATGTATATTAAGATCTGAGTTGGCTTATTGTAGTTAAATGTTTAGAAAATTCTTCTAGCTTTAATTACTGATTCATTAGCACTTTATAAAAACGTTTTTCAACAACCGTACAAGTTAACACTTATGTGTATTTAATTTAGGGTTAATTGTATTCCTAAATTCCGGGTTTTTCATGTAATTCCGCTATTTGAAACTTACACTAAATTGCGTTAACAAGACGTTTGCCAATTTAATTTAACCTGTCGGACTTCTGCATATTTAATATTTGAAATTACGCTAGAATCACTTTGTGTCACAGTTAATTTTCATCTATCTGTAAATTTAAGTTTTGTTACAAGCTTGGCTAAGCTAACTAAGAGTAAGCCTTTTACTCTTTTAATTCCCGTTTGGGTCACAAACAAATTTTGATTTATGAAGATAGTTCTGCAGATTTGATCAGAAAATTATGTAAATTGCAAAATTTTCATTTAGGGCTCTCTTGCTTCAAGTTCCATATGATTTAGATTTGCACATATTTGAATTATATATACACGCAAATAAAAAATTTCACATAGTATTAACAAAATTTTAAAATCATGCTTTGATAATTTTTTAAGAATTAAGTTTGGTAAATCTTTGTTTGTAATCTGTAAAATATTGTATTAAATTTTGGTAAATTTATTATTGTAAATTTTTCATAAACTAAAATTTGATTCAATAAATTGAAAAGAAGAGTTCATATTTTAATAACCTTGCAATTTACCTAATAAATTCTATCAATTATTTATCATAATGCTTGTGTAATGTCATATTTTTCAGTTAATTCAAATATGGTTCATTGAATTTTACATAAAACGTTTTACTGTTGTCAGTCTTAGTATGTATGCCAATGTGTCCTTTGGAAATTTTTCGATAGTCTTCATTCTAAATTAAACTGCAATATAACTATCAAACCATTGGCAGTTGTGAGCTTCACATACAACTATTAATGTAAAATTGATATACTTTGTCTACCAATTGTGCTTTAAGGATATACAATTTCTGCTTCAAAGTAAACTGGCTGACATGCATTTTATGGTACTAATTATATTACTGAACAGATCCTTGAAAAATTCAATTTTGATCCTTGATCGTAGAATCCTTGAATTATTATTATTTTTTAACATAGAGTGGAAACCTTGAATATCCCAGTCATGTGGTAGGTACCTCTCAAACTGTGGTATAATAATTATCAAACAGACTGATTGTCTTGTTTTACAGCATTTGTAAATTATGAGTCACATAGTACTCATTGGAGATATTAAACAAAGCTGTAGTGTTTGAATAGAGCTCTTGCATCCAAATGAATTCACTAATATCTGATCCATACAAATTCTGCCTACCTCACTGCTGATTTACACATGATGGTGCGTAGCGTTTTTTAAAAAAAAGCTTAAATGTGCTTATTTTCGTTTTTTAAAAGCCCTTAAGGTGCTTTTTTCATGGAGTGTTTTTAAAAAGAGCTTAAATTTCCTTTTTCGAAAATGAGTTTTTAAATTTTTTTTTTACCATGTGTATTTTTGCTGCGTATGCAAAAACGTTTTTTACATTGCTCTATTCAACATTGTTCTATTGAACCACAATCCGCTTTGGCGTACCGGCGGTATGTAGCGTATGATAGCGACAATCACGTTGCTTGTTTGATTAAATAGTTAGATTTGAGTCCGCATGTGCGCCTACTGTACTGTACTTAAAGGGTGCTTCTTTTTTGTTGAAAGATTTGGCTATGCACCCTGTGTACAATAACCTCAATAGTTCACAGATCATAGGTTAGAATCCCCTTAGCCATCTGTTTAATTGTGGAAGGATTTGTATACCATCAGAAAGTTCTTCATGCTGTCTTTTCGCTTTTCCTATTGTTTAATCAGAAGTTCTATTATCTTCTGGATTGGTCTCAAAATTACAAGACTACAGAGTTAAGTATTAATAATCATGAACCCTAAAATGGGTTGGTTGTTCAACTCCAGTGTTAAAATAAAATGTATGAAAAAAGTCCCAAGTACTTCATTTATTTTTTAATGCAAAAACTAAAATTTTATAAATCCTGTAATTTATTTGCCATGATTTCCCTGACTGTTTTATTTGTGATGCAAATGTTTTCCTTTGTGCAGGAGGTTGGCGTATGAGAATCGCTCTGGCTAGGGCTTTATATGTTCGCCCTCACTTGCTGCTTTTAGATGAACCCACCAATCACCTTGATTTAGAAGCTTGTGTCTGGTTAGAGGATGAACTAAAGACGTACGTTTTTTCTCAATTAGTACTAATTATTTTAAGATTTTAACCCCTTCGTTAAGTGTGTATCTATTAGTTTTTTCTTTAACTACTTAATTGCTATAATTTAGATCTTCTCTAAAAGATTTTTTACTTTTCTGATCACAGAAACAAGATAAAATGAAAAACTTTCTACTAACACAAATTTCAATCAAACTGTCTGCAAGCATTTTATTAATTCATTTTACTAATTTCAACCCTTTAGTCATCACTTCAGTTTTGGTTATCAGATGTTTTGGTTTTTCGTGTTTTAATTTGGATTTTTTCGCTAAAGATTCATTTGATACTTTTTTTTAAAAAGTTCTTATGGCATTTCATTTCTGCATTTAAATTAGGATAATTGTTGATTTTTTTTTAAAAAAAAATCTCTTTCGGGATGCACATGTTCTATCTAGACCGCAATATAACAAAGACGCTCCTAGAGTTTATGTTCCCATGACATCACTTAAAATCAATACTGTACTTAACAGTGAGACAGTGTTTCTACACTACCTGGAAAATCAGTAAAACCGGAAAAAGGCAGAGAATTTGGAAATTGTCTGAAAAATCAGGGAATTTAACATTTTGGATCCAAAATCTGAAAAAGTCAAAGTTTGATTTGGCGAGTGCCAAACAAACTTTTCCTGTGCCAGAATTGTGGCAAAGCGGCGACATTGTCGCAGACTGTTACTGAGTTCTTACAGGAAGATTTTTCTTTTGGGAAGTAAAAAGTTTTTTCTTTATTCTGTAAAAATATGTATCTTTTCTACAGAACTATACTCAAACGATGCCTTTCTTGCGAGTGGAAAAAAATGCTTGTGGCTTTTCTTTTCTTATTTGAGGATAATGAAAAATAATGAATTAAAACATTTGGTTTTCGTTTGAATTTTATACGCAGTTATTATTATTAATATCGCATTAGTATTTCTGAGAGTTTAAAATCCAATGTCACTATTTGTATTTAGGCATTTTTAAAATCCAATATTGCGATTTGTTATAACACGATTGTAATATCAAACATCGATTTTAGTATTTATATGCGATTTGAAATCTACTCATTGCGATTCGTATTCACGTGATCTAAAAGTTATGCATCATGATTCTTATTCACGTGATTTAAAAATTCAATATCGCAATCGATGCCACCCACCTTGAAAACCTGGAATTATCAGGGAATTCTCTTTATACTGGAAAAGTCGGAGGAAATTCGGATTAAAACCTGAAAAATAAGGGAATTTTAAAGAAAAGCTGTAATTTTTTTCTCAATTTGAATTATTTTGCTATCCGTTTTATCCATTTTATTTAGACTGAAATTTATTGTCAAACAGTTGAAATAGCATCAACTTAGTAATACTTTACTTGCATTAAGATTCTTTCCATTACTACCCTGCTAAACAAGAATGCCAAATGAAACACTCCCATGTTGCTAAATAAAGGCGAAATCTTTCACCTCCTTGGAGATTATAGGACTAGGCAGCAGTTTAAGGAAAGGCAAAAATTGTAATCGAGATGGAATAAGGGTTATTTGCTCTGTAGGCTGAATTCACTTACTGTTCAAGTTTGTTCCGATGCTTTGGGGGTATATTTTTATTTTAACAAAGTGTTTTAGTATTTTTAAATTTCCAAAAAATAATTGGTTATAATTTAATATTAGATTTTGTCTTACACTCTTTTTCTGAAAGCTTTTGTCTTCTCATCCAATGAATTATTTTTCTCGGCATCGCCTACCAATCACTCATTTTTCTTGAATCGCTAATAGCAAAATTGATGCTAATTTTCATTTTAATCTTTTATAGCATATTTTATTGAAAAGAAAAAATTACAAAGTACAGTAATTCACACTAATAATTACTAAAAATAATTAAAGTGAACTGTGACAAACCAGGTCATTAACAGATTCAAATGTGTAGAGAAACATCTCACATTTTGATTTACCAAAAAACAATTCTAATGCACTCGTGATATTTTACATGCGATACCAAAATACATAATTAATCGTACTGTGCAGCTAAGATTTAAGCATAATTAAATTATTTTTTCTGTTTAAAGCAAGATTTTGATAATAAGTGTTTTTATTGTTAATTAATAATTGTTTTTGCACTGCTTTTCTTTTTATTACATTTGTTTTTATTTATTTCCATCACTTATTTTGCTTTTTCTTTATGACATGAAATATGAATAGAAACCATCTAAATATTCCTTTATGTTAATTAACAGTCATGTATTTCACTTCTGTAACCTAATAATAAAATATGTATAACTATGCTTTGCTTTAAATTTTATATTATAACTTAAAATTTGATCAATGATATTTTTATATATATATATACAGACCTGCCAACTTGTACGGTTTTGCCGTACAGTGTACGGTTTTTTACACGATTGTACGGTTGTACAGACAAGCGCTAAAATCGTACAGTTGCTTATTCATTTATAGTGTTTAAGTTTTTTTTTTTAGAAGAAAAAAAATGAAATTAACAGCATGCTTATTAAAATCATGCATTCAAAGGTTAACACTATTTTAAATACTAGTTATGAAACGCATCACCAAAAAAAAAAATGAGTCCCTGACAAGTTATAATCTGGTTGTTTTTGCGAGCCAATCACGTGACGCTAAAACAATCATTAACCAATGAGATTGAGTATGTGCCTCGGCGAAATGAGCCTTTGCTAGTGGGAACTCTGATATAGAGATCATGTGACCAGTAATTACGGACTAGATTAAGAGCGCTTTTTGGCAACGGTAATGTTTTTGTTTACCATTTGTTGCGCATGGATTACAGTTTTTGTTTTAAAATTACGGAATAATAATATATAAATGATCATTTAGGCACATAATATAAATTTTCGTTAACATAATTTTCGTTTATAATAAATTTCGTTCGTAAATAAACATTAGGCACATAATATTTCGGAAATATAAATGATCATGTAGGCACAAAGAAACTTAAGGATTTAGCACACTGTGTTGATATAAATGAAAACATTAGTAAGTATTTTGCGTCTGGAAGTGATGACAATATAATACGGGCCAAAGTGTATTTGTGTTGTTCATTGTAGAGCACGATCTACCTATTAGTGTCGCAGATCATGCAGGTCCATTATTTAGGAAAATGTTCCCTAAAAGCGATGTTGCAAAAAAATATGGTGCAGGACGAACAAAAACTGCTGCTATTGTATCGAAAATAGCAGATGTTAAAAATGCTTCAGTTGTTGAATCTCTTCAGAAACAAATGTTTGCTGTCGCTACTGATGGCAGCAACGATACAGATGCGCAACTTTATCCTATTGTTTCTTATTTCGACGCAAAAGCAGGCGAAGTCAAGGTATTGTTGTTTGCCATGCCGCTTTAGGTTTAAGCTCTACCGGACGGAGCATTGGTAATTTGGTGTTAAATATTGTAAAGTCTAAAAATATTCCTTTAGAAAATTGTTTAGCACTTAATTATCTTGCAATCTAATGAGCCAAAAATTCATATTTTGAATTCTTTATTAGATTTATTAAATGATTTTGTTTCAAAATTTATAAGAGCAGACGTTATTAAAGGTTCTTCCCTGATGGACATCAACTTTGTGTCAGAGAAGAATTATAAATTGGTAGTGCTGCTTCCAAGTTAATATCAGTTTTAAAAATGGAAGATAAGCAACTCTTCTATAGTAATATAAAAATAGAACACTATGCCGAGTAAAACACTAGCTCAGAATTGTAAGGTCATGCAGATTACAATGTTGGCAGGTCTGTATATATTTATTTATGGTAAGCAACTCAGTTTTAATTTTTTGAGAAACAATATAACTTTATTTGAACATTGTTGCTTAGAACTCAAAAAATGTATATATTTAGAGAAAAAAAAATTCAGAACTTTCTGTAGTTATTTATCAGGGCGCATAGTGCTTAAAAGTGCTTATTTTCGTTTTTTAAAGGTGTTTTTTTCCATGGGTGTTTTTAAAAAGTTCTTAATTTCCCCTTTTCCGAAATGTGATATTTTATTTTTCTTTACCATGTTGATTTTCGTCTCAAATTATGCAAAAAGACATTGTCCTATTCAACGTTTTCACAATTAATTCAACCCCAATCTATTTCGGCTTACCGTCGGTTTGTAGTGTATGAAAACACCATTTGTTTTACATGTTTGATGAAATACTTGCGGGTCCTCACTTGCACATATACTGAGCTGGATTCAGTGGTAAGGATTTTTGTCGCTCGTGTGCAACCCTGCTGCATTTTGCAAGAGATTCTCAATTTCAGACTTCATTTTCCGCCCTCTGTAATAGAATCGAAAAATCTCTAGAATTTTTTGCTGATTACAGGGACTAATTAAACATAGTAAATTTTTTTCTTTATTAGAGATAGAAAATTTCATTTCTCTTGTTAATTTCATTGTTTGTGATGCTTCGTCTTCGTCACTGTAAATAAAATCTGATAAAACCATCAACTGTCAAAAACTTGCCAACCCTGTCTAATTATGACATTTATCAAAGTGCTTAAAAATATTTTTTTAGTACTTGAAAAGTGCTTAAAAGGTGCTTATTTTTTGTTGAAAAATTTGGCTACACACATTATTTATTTATTATTTTTTAGTAAAGACAAAAATAAAATAACAAAACCTACTTGCATAGAAATCTACTACAAAAACACACATCCTATTCAATTATTGGGTAAATGGGTTACAAATTGTTAGTAGTTATATTAAAAAGGGATAAAAATTTATTCTAGAATTCATATAAAAAAAAAAATTTCATAAATTTGGCTCATCTCTTATGCTACAATCAGGGACATATGCTCTTTCTCGTTCACTGTTAGCTATGCCGCCAAATACAAGTAAAATGTACATCTGTTAATATTGTGTGCTTTGAAACATCAAATATAATCGATTGTATGAACTGTACAAAATGGAAAATTGTATAAAACACAAAAGATCCATCCATTCCAACAGGAAATAGAAGGCAATTAAAAGAAAAATTTGCGTCACTGTATTTGCTATTTGGTTCATTTTGTGCTAAAACTACATAACTAGCACTTTAAAAAAAAATTTTTTCATTAAAAGTAATATATTCTACAAACTAAACATATTTTCTTCACATCTATTCAAGGTGATATATTAAAAAAATAAAATTTTAAATAAAATACTGTATAATATTGACACTTTTCTTGTACCCACCTGCACTTTTTGAAAAAATATGACGTGGAAATTTTTAGATTATTTCTGGAAAAATCAGGGAAATTTGAAACCTGATTTGAGTGGCCGTTTTTTATATGATATCATTTATTACAGGGTGGCCACCCACCTTGAACACATGGAATTATCAGGGAAATTTTTTATGCTGGAAAAATCAAGGAAATTTAGAATCAGGAAATTCGAAAAATTTAGAAAGGGTACACTAATGCCATAAGTTTGGGAAGCCCTGTGTTAAGATAAAATAGTGGTTTAGTTTTTAAGTTTTTATTATTAGTTATCATGGTTTAATTAGCATTTCAAATATTTTTTTTATTGTTTCCTGTGAAAACTTTTTTTTTTTCTTACAGTTACAAAAGAATTCTGGTAATCATCTCTCATTCTCAAGATTTTTTGAATGGAGTTTGTACTAACATAATTCACATTGAAAAAAAGAGATTAAATTATTTTGGTGTAAGTAAATTTCTGATTATTATTCTTGTCTGACAGCTTCGTGAAAGCGTCTAATGTTTTTGTATTTTCTTTTAGGGTAATTATGACCAATTTGTTAAAACACGATTAGATTTACTAGAGAATCAGATGAAGCGATATAATTGGGAACAAAGTCAAATATCTCATATGAAAGTAAGTTCAATTTTCTTCATCTTCTAATGAATCGTTTTCTTTATACCCCCTTGGCAGAATCTCGGCGACATGAAGACATTGTCGCAGAACTTTACAGAGTTCATGCAGAAAGATTTTTCTTTTGGAACATATAAAAATTTTGGTTTGCTTTTCAGCAGAAATTTTCACAATTTTTTTAATGCACATTAAATAATCACTTTTTGAAGCTCTCAAGTTATGTCTTTATCGTAAATCCATTCTGATTCTATTTTCGGCAGTTATTGACATTGATTTTCATTTCGCTTTCAGATATCTGAACATATTTCATAACATACGGGAAATTCAAATTGTGCATTTGATCATTTACTTCTTTTGGCAATTATTGCTTTTGATTGGCAGCTATGTGAATTGAAATTTTAAAAACTTTGTGGGAATCCCATACTGATGGACAATAAAAATCATCTCAAATCTAGTGTATTCAAAAGTTTGTGGTTACCGTGTTATGTATGATCATTATGTAACTGACAAAAGAGTAAATCCGCATAGGATTGCTGGTGAATTATAATAATTGTGTGCAAATTGTCGAACAAAACATTGAGTTTTGAAAAACTCTGTTTTATTAACCTCTGGAAAAAAAAGATTGGCAAAAAGATCCACACTGATTCACTGTGGATTATTGAGTAGATTGAAAAATGAACTGAAATGCATGATTTGGAACTGTATGTTATAATGACATATTAAAATATCGAGATTTTAAAGTCCAACCAAACCGTAAATCAGGGATTTATTTTTGACTGATATTTGCCTTAATTATTGTCCATTTGTTATTTTTTATTCAATGGGGATATTTTAAACTTGATTAACTTGAAATTTGTACGGATCTCTCATTTTTAACATTGCACGATTAACGCATCAGCAAAATTCCGCGATTATCAGCTGCTACGGAGCTTGAGTAAAACCATTTGTAAAGGAAGAAAACAAAAAATTACACAAGTTTTCCGATCTATTCCAAAGCAACACGGTAACCACACACCCCTTTATAAGTGGCTTATCCTCATAACCATAGTAACGGCACGTTCACGTGTAAACCAGTTGATTAGTTTTGCTTCTGTTCCTTTCTCCCTCCTAACTGCTTCCAGTCTCCTCTAGTGAATGCGCTGTTTCCGTCATTATTGCCACTCCCCGTTTCAACTACGTCACTGAACTAGCCGACCGAAATGTCGTTCTCCCTCCCTCGGTAACGGACGAAAACGGTACTGAACTGTCGACTACTACGTGGCTTGTAATCACGTGGTGTGTGTTAAAAATGAAACCAAAGAAAACTTATTTTCAGTCGTATAAGAATTCTTATACTGCAAAGTTTCCATGCATAAAAAAGTGTAATAAAGGAGAAAAGAATGCTTATTGTACAATTTGTTTTTTTGACTTTCTAATATCGCACGGAGGTAGAAATGATATACATGGCCATGTGACCGGACCGAATCACGCCAAGAACATTGAAAACGCTGAAAATAACCAAAGACTAAGCAAAATTTTTAAGCCTCCTTATAATGTCCAAGATTATGAATGAATCGAGATTATGGTTATGAATCGAACTTCAGAAATTACTAAATATTTGCAAGAACAATCATTTACTGTAGCATGTGATGGTAGTCTCAAAGCTGATTATAAGTTGTACCCAGTTGTGGTGAGTTATTTTAATGTGGATCTTTAATGCATTGAAAGAACTTTATTGGCAATCCCAAATTTGGAAGGAAACTCCACTGGTGAAAATATAAGCTCCCTTCTATTAAATGTGTTTGCTAAATATGACATTCCTTTTAGAAATTGCATAACATTCAGTGCAGATAATGCTTCTGTTATACAGGGAAAGAAAAATGGTGTGATTTCTTTTTTAGAAAAAGAAATTGAGCACATAATATCAATTGGATGCTGCTACCATTTAATACATCTTGCCTCTGAAAAAGCTGCTGCAACTTTTCCCGTTAGGATAGATGAAGTTTTGGTAGATATTTTTTTTAAAAAGGAGCATTAACCGTGAGGACTCTCTTAAGAGATTTCAGGAAATGTATGGTAAAGAAGCACAAAAAGTGCTTAAACATGTGTCAACTCGCTGGTTATCGTTAGAGAGAAGTCTTACACGCTTGGTTAATCAGTGGGATCCGCTTATGAGTTATTTTAGAGCTGAAGTTTCTACTTGCAGTGTGTCTGTATCCACTACTTTGCCATTTTTCAAAATTCCAAATGTAGTTGATAAAGAAAGCAGCACAGGAGTAGATAAATTAAGGGATAAACCTGCAGTGCCTAAAGTCGAAACTAAGACTTGTGCAATAATGAAACAGCCTTTGACACATAAACAGGACCCAACTAATGGTAAAAAAAGGAAAAGTTTACTACAAGAAAGTGTGATTCCGATTAAAAGACATAAGGCTAAAAAAGATTCAACTTTATCGGAAGAAGAGAAAATTTTTATGTTTTTTTCTTCAAATTTAAATAAGTGCTTCAGTTTATTTCTTTTAAGTATTATCCCTACATTTGTAAGGTAAATGTGATTTTACAGTCTTCTTCCCCACAAATTCATCGGTTAAGAGTTCTTCTTTTGGATCTGCTAAAAGAACTTTTTTTCAAATTTGTTAAACCTTCTGAGGTTAAAGGAAAAGAGTTAACATGTGTTAATTCTCATTCTTCTTTCAACCATAAAGATCAGTTATAGGCAGTGCAGCAATGGACTTAATTTCAAATTCTTCGGAAAAAGAAAAATTGTTTTATTCAGCTGTTATCAAATATTTCATAACTGCCAGTGAATATTTTGTTAAGAAATTCCCTTTAAATGATCAAGTGCTCAAACATGCTGAAGTTGCTGACTTCAGGGATGAGATTCTTCCGCGGATTTCCGCTTTTTTTTTCCAGATTTTTCCATTTTTCCCGCTAATTTCCGCTGAAATTTTTTTTTGCCCAAGTTAAAATGTTTTATGAGGAATTTAATTTTCCGNTCGGTTAAGAGCTCTTCTTTTGGATCTGTTAAAAGAACTTTTTTCCAAATTTGTTAAACCTTCTGAGGTTAAAGGAAAAGAGTTAACATGTGTTAATTCTAATTAACTTCTTTCAACCATAAAGATCAGTTATAGGCAGTGCAGCAATGGACTTAATTTCAAATTCTTCGGAAAGAGAAAAATTGTTTTATTCAGCTGTTATCAAATATTTCATAACTGCCTGTGAATATTTTTTTAAGAAATTCCCTTTAAATGATCAAGTGCTCAAACATGCTGAAGTTGCTGACTTGAATAAAATTGAAAACTCCAGTTTTGAAAGTGTGAGATATTTTGTAAATTTGTTTCCCTTTTTGAAAACAAGAAGTAATGAAACCAAGCTTACAGCAATGAATGAACTGCAGAAACAGTATTGCCAACTTCAGTTAGAAGATTTGAGTGAAATAACTGTTCCAGATAGATCAGTTGATGTGCAGTGGTCAATGATAAGTCAAATGAAAGGTGCGAATGGCGTGTTTAAGTATGAAAAATTGGGAGACATTATCTTGTCAATTCTTCTCATACCTCATTCAAATTCAGAATGTGAGAGAATCTTTAGTGTGGTTAGAAAGAACCGTACTGAATAGCGAGCAATTATGTCTAATAAAACTTTAGAAAGCCTGCTTATATTAAAAACCAAATTTTCTAAAATCTGTCACGAACAAGTGTTTGAAAAAGATTTTTTAATTAAAGCAAAGAAGACTACTTCAGCTTCTTTAAATTCAGCATCCTCTTTTGCTGTTGATTTAGAAGAAAACCCTTAAAGAACTATTTTATTTTGCCTATAGCATTTTTTTACAAAAAGTAGCATCATTGTAATGGAATTTGAAATAATTGTAGTAGAATTTGAAATGATTGAGATGATAAATGGATGGTTGATTAGATATTTCTGTACATTTTCTAACAAATGTAATTTAAAAAATTTATGAAAATTTGCTTCTCACTTCATCAACATTCAATCATGTGATAGATTCTATAATTAATATATTTATTATTGATTTGTGGTGTATTTTTACTTAATTAAATAATTCGAATAGTTTTCGTTAAATTTTTCATGAAAGTTTTACTGATGCAAGTTTTTTTAAGTTGGCAAGTATGCATAGCGTTTTTAAAAAGTGTTTAAAAGTGCTGAATTTTCCATTTTGAAAAGAAATTTTTTCTTTACCATGTCTATTTTCGCCATGTATTATGCAAAAGCAAGCTTTTCAGGGTGTTCTATTCAACGTTTTCACAATTTATTCAACCACAATCCATTTTGGCGTACCATCAGTCTATTAGGCACCAATCATTTTACATGTTTGATGAAATACTTGCTAGTCTCTACGTGCATCTACTGAGCTGGGGTCAGTGAGATTCTTGCTCTCTCATCTGCATTAAGGAAACATGATCAATTTTCAAAACATTTAAGTTTTTTAAAGGTATAAGCAATGTGTAACATTTTATTTTTAGTATCGAAATAATTTAATCATTTTTCCTTGTGTATGCTTAATCTTTTAACAGTTGTTGAATTGTAACTTTATTTCATTGTATTACCTACAGATTATAAAATTGATTTTTGTAAAACTACGTTTTATTTTTCAAGAGTCTGAGAGAGTGATGAAAATAGGCCGAGTTTGAATGGATTTTTGCACGACTCCTGTTTCTTTACAGTTGAGTTCAGTGCTTGAAAATTCATTGTGATTAAAACTGCTTGGAGCGAAAATAATATCTGACTCTCAGTTGCTTTCTCTGATGAAATAAGTCCCCCCAAAAAATATTGATTTAGAGCAGATTAGAATTAGAGAAAAACCTCTTCAACTGTTTCCCTTTCTTTCTACAGTTCATGGCCATATTATTCGACGCAATTTGACATTCTATGTAAAATTATAACTTTCCAAGTGATAATATACAGCAGGGGTTTCCAACTTGCATGAGGCCGGGGGCCACAATGAAAAACACAAATCAAATGGCGGGCCGCAACTTCGTAAGACTCTAATGTTTGAAGGAATATTAAATATTACTGTCAGATTTTTACAAAGTTGTACAAAACAAAAGTATTAAATTGCAAATTTAAATGAGAAGTAGATTTTTAAAAATATTTCATTGTTATTAATATAATTTTTAAAAATATTAAATAAATTATAAAAATTCGGACTTCAATAACTTTAATGTGCACCTATGTATTAAACAATTAATGTGCAACAGACATCTNAAGGTATATATGTAATATATTTAAGAAATACGAAATGTATACGAGAATACCACATACAATTCATATTATAATAAAAAAGCTTACTTAAAAACATTTAAAAAGCATACTTTACGAGAATTATATAGTTTTTACTTAAAAAAAGTCCTTAATCGTTTTTCGTTCTACGTAACTTGGGCGCTTTTCTGTAGTAATGTTTCGCCTTTTTTAGGGATAACACGAAGGCTGGTGTCGCCTCTTTTTGTTGTTCTATATATTCAATAGAACATTCAATAGCTTTTAGTCCATCTGTATGACAGATTTTTATATGTTGATTTTAATAATCACTGTCTTCATCATCTCCACTAGATTCATTATCATTATTGACGATATTAACGATAATTTAATCAGACCAAGTTGTTGGATTTTGTTTTTCTGAGTGTTTGGAAGATAAAATTCAGATTTATTTTTCAGCGGTTTTTTTAAAAATAAACTAGAACAAAAAAAAAATCCTTGAAATATTTGATAGCTCGGTTAAAGCGGTAACTCTGATAACTGGGGCTCGGATAATCGGGACTCTACTGTATATAAAAAAAATCTCCTGAATAAAAACACGTTACATGTTTGCTTAAATATAAAAGTATTTCATATAGACTCGTGCAAAACACGCAATGTGTCTCATAATTTGGTCTGATTATTATAATATACTAACATAATACATGATGTAATGAATATTCTATATTTATTTAACATATCGTTGAATTTATATTATATATATCGTCTAATTTAACCAATTGACGCACTTACATAAAGTACGTAGCGTACGTGTAAACCGGTTTCAGTCACAATGAAGCTGTATAGAGTATCACCTGATAATGAAGATTTTCAATAGAATCTTATTATAGTGCGTCTTGACCAGGAACTGTAAATATTTGCGAGTACTACTTTTGTTATTTGAAGCCAGGAAGGAGGTTCAGTTGCTAGTTCAGCTTGGAGAAAAATAAGCACACTTCAAAATTGGTATTTGTTTGGATTGTATAAATGTTTAGGTTTTCACTGTAGGATATGTTAAGTTTACTTTTCTCTGTCACAAAATTAAATAATCAAATTTCATTTGAGTTTCGTGTGTAATAAAATTGTATAAAAAAAATCTGGTTTTGATAAAAAAAATTTTTAAGTGAAATTTGTAGTTAATAACTATCGAAAGAAAGATAGTAAAAGCACATGGATTATTGATAATATTGGTCAGGGTATTAAAGAAAAAAAAAAGTTTTTTAAATCCAACCTGGGTGGGTTTCATTGTTATTATTTTTGGGGTTTTATTGGGCTTTTTTTTTTTAAGATATTACCTAGTTTTACACTTTTTAGATTTTGATTTTTAATTCAGAAGGGACAATTTTAGTTTTTAAAAAAAATAAACTTTCACAGGAAGAAAAGTAATGAATTGAAAATATAAAAAATTACTTAAATTNATTTTTCACCAAAATTTTTAATGCGAGAAAAGAAAAAAATATGCGAGATTCTCGCGCTGTAGTGAAAACACTGAGTACCATTTTTTTCCCTTTAAGCTGGTATTAATAAAAGGCTCTTTAATTCCTTTTTTTGACTAGAAATAGAAGCATAATATTAGGGTCAAAGAAATATGCTTTTTACTGTTTTTTTTTTTTAAATACTTTTTTGCAGGCAAACTAACTACATAATTACTGTTTATTTAACAAATTTTTTAAATAGTTTTTGAATTAGCCAAGAACTGATTTTGTTATGCATGTCTAGCAGCCAAAAAAAAAAAAAAANNNTTTTTTTTTTTTTTTTTTTTTTTTTTTTTTTTTTTTTTTTTTTTTTTTTTTTTTTTTTTTTTTTTTTTTTTTAATATATGAAAAAATTGAAAAATAAGTTACTTAATAAACATAATTTCATTTTAAAAAAAAATGATAATTTTTTATAAATGAAGTAGTTTGATTTAATTTCCAATTAAAATCACTGTAAACTGTCAAGATATTTACAAAAAATGCAATATACATCAGGCTCAAAGTTAGGCACTTGTAATGGAAGTTTTATTAATAACAATAATTGTAATTCTATATAAATTAAAAAATATTCCTAGGGTTTAAGGATCCTCATTATTGTATAAAGAACAGTTACTTCATTTTTCCTTTTTAATTAAAGGCACATTAGTGTGCTCTTAAAATTAGTTAAATAAATATCAATTTATGCATAAAGTTTATTTTTTTTTAATAATTGAAAGTCTTGTTCTAAGAAATTTTGAATTTTAAAAATAAAACACCTTGGAAAGAAGAGTTCTATTGCCGTATTTTCTAGAAAAAGTAAAGATTAGTTTGGAGCCTTTGTTAGCATAGAGTGGTAGTATAAAACTTATCCTGATCTAGTTCAACAGTTTCAGAGTATCAGTTTAGTTTATGGCAATGAGTTCTGTTCGTGTAGCAATATATTTTCTTTCAAATTTGGAAGAAAAAAAAGGAAAATTTCCAAATTAAGAAAGTTTAAAATTCTTTGTATAATTATCACATGAATCTATGAGCATGTTATTAACAAATTTTGTTTTCTGCATTATAGTAAAGATGACCATTTAGATAAATAGATAAGATAATAAATAGATATTTAGATAATAAAAAAATTTCTCTTTTTACATACCTATAAATTTGTCTTAGTAATTTGATTTGAAATCTTGTAACTGTATTTAATTAGTTTTATTAAAGATTTATTATTTGCATTATTTTGACAATTAAATAGAATCCATTTTATATTGACCCCCAACATGCTATTTTTTAGTTCTGTTACATAAAGTTTTTTAAGCATCTCTGGAACTCTTAGGAGTTTAACCTAAAACTGCATGTATCTATTCTTAACATATCCATCTGTTATGAATTCTATTAGTGTTTTTAATGATCTATTTCTATGAATTTATAGGACTATATAGCTCGATTTGGTCACGGTAGTGCTAAGTTAGCTAGGCAAGCACAGAGCAAAGAAAAAACTATGGCTAAAATGGTTGCTGGTGGCTTGACTGAAAAAGTTGTTTCTGAAAAAGTAAATGTCAATTATGTATTTTACAATATGTTAAAATTCCTTAAGTTAAAAATTGGTTTCTTTTTTACAATAAAACAATTTTTGTTTTGATAGGTTGTACAGTTTTATTTTCCTGACTGTGGTACGATTCCTCCTCCTGTGATCATGGTGCAGAATGTGTCATTTCGATATCAAGAAAATGGAGTATGTTATGATTTATTTATTATGTATAAATGTCTGAAAAGTTATAAAATTTTTATGCCTTACAAAATTAGAAAAATTCAATGAAATCTGGAAAAGTCTTTTTTTTTTCTTTCCTTTTTTATTAGTGCTTATGTTAGAGATGGGAAGTTTGCTCTACAGTGGAAAAAAAAAACTGCCTCAGAAGAAATAAATTTCCAACTTGAGTTGAAGAAACGAAAGAAACAAAAAAATCAAATGTCAAACATTAAAACATTTTTTAATGGCTTATAATTTACAATTACATTTTAAATAATAGTATTTATTAATTCCTATGCTATTTAATATTTTTTTTTTAAATATGTGAAAACAAAAAGCAATAATTTCTTATAGATTTTTAAAAAATGACTTCAGTTTTTCAATATTTTGTGTAATGTATGATAAAACTTAATTTTTAATTTTACACAAAACTGTTAACATTATCAAATCTTAAGCTATATTAGCAAATCTACTAAACATATTGCACTACTAAAAAACAAATATTTAATTCACAATTATAAATAACAATCTAAATTTTATTGATCCAACTCTGAGTGAAACTGAAATTGAATGAAAGAAGTATTTTTTTTAAATAGTTGATGCTGAAAACTTTTTTTTTCTTGTAATTAAATTTAAGCTTTTTTACCATGCATTTTGTTGGTCATTTTTAGTTACTTCCATTTCATCCGTTTTTCTTTTTCCTTTTATACAAAATGCTAAGCCTTGTTTTTTTTTTTTTTTTAGTCAAGATTTTGCATTGTGTGTAGCGTTTTTTTAAATGTGCTTAAAGGTGCTTCTTGTCGATTTTCGTTATTATTTAAAAGCTTAAATGTGATTTTTTCATTGGGTGTTTTTAAAAAGTGCTTAACTTTCCCGTTTAGAAAATGAGCTTTTTTTCTTTACCGTGTAGTTTTTGCCACGTATTATGCAAAAGCATACTTTTCACATTGTTATATCCAAAATTTTCACAATGCATTTCGGCGTACTGTCGGTCCATAGCGCATGAAAGCTTTGATGAAATGCTTATGAATCTGTATTTGTGTCTACTGAGGTGAGATTCTGGCACTCTCATGTGCTGCATTTTGCAAGATATTTTATGGTGGCTAATATAATCAAGAAAAGAGATCATACAAAGTCTTTGAAAATTATTTTGCATTTTGTTAATGAAATACATACAGTGCTTAAAAAGTACTTAGAAGGTGCTTATTTTTGTTGAGAAATTTGGATACACTCGGAATTATCACAGAATTTTTTTATTCTGGAAAAGTCAGGGAAATTTGGATAAATACCTAGAAAAAATCAAAAAAATTTAAAGAGCTCAATATTTTTTATTAGATTTTCTTAAATTTTCTAATTTAAATTATTTTCTAATTTCTTAATTTGAGTTTTTTTTACCATATTTTATACCCACTTTTTTTTCCAATGGGAATTTGTTGCCTAACTGTTGAAATATCAAATTAGGAATACTTTGCTTGCTTTATAAATTGTTCCAGTATAACCATGGCATGCAAGGATGCCACATGAAACTGTCCCAGGTTGCTAAATAAATGGAAAAACCTTTTTGGAGACTGTGCAGTTTAAGAAAAGCAAGGATTGTGATGGAGAAGGGGTTAGGATATTTTCTTCTGTTTATAAAAGTAGGTCGTCTAGGGCTGAATCAATTTATCATTGTATTTTTAACTTTATAAAATTCTCCAATAATTAGTGGGTTATAATTTAATGACAATGTATTTTATAGTGCACCCTTTGTCTGAAACTTTTTGCTCTCCCATCACACATTTTCTTACAATCGCTTACAGCAATGTTTGTTGACAAGTTGTTACATTGATAATAATTTTCACAATTTCATTTTAATCTTTCATATTATATTTTAATTTTTGAAAAAAGGTTCTGTTACCAACCAACTGTATGTTAACATTTAATTTTACTGTTTTATTGGTAAATATTTGGCTCGAATCGTGTAGTAATCTCAATGTCGAAAGTTTATATAGTTTAGTTGTTTATTGGAAAACAAAACTTTTTTTTCTGCACAGTGCAGGTACAGGTTTTTAGTTGTAAAAACAATTAACTAATCTAAACTTGGAATTCTTTTAATTTTTCAATTACAAATAATTAAAAGAATAAAATTTAAAGAATGTTATCTAGTTTTTTCCTACAGAGTATTAAACAAGAAATTTGGCAATTTTGCATTTCATTTTTTAATCTCTTAAAATTATGCTAATTTAAAACAAATGAACAACAATATTTAAACACTTGACATTGGTTTAAAGAAAATATGATCAATCAATTTCATAAAGTATCATATCAGTCCTGTTTTCTTTGCTTCAGTGTCAAAAAAGTCTTCAATAGCTTAATTTTTTTCAAATGAATATCCTAGTTATTACAATATGTGTTGTAATTTTCACATAAAACAAGAATGTTGTGACTCAACATTTTTCATTATATATATTCATGTCTCCAAAACATTAAATTCCTTGACTGTTTTTACCAACTCGCAATTAACTAAGTATGAGCCTATCCCCGTGGCAGAATCACAACGACATTGTAGCAGAACATTACAGAGTTCTTGCAAAAAGATTTTTCTTTTGGAAAGTTAAAGAAAAAGAGAGAGAACTTTTCAACAGAAATTTACACGTTATATTTTAATTATGCATTTAGATAATCACATTTTGGCGCTCTCAATTTATGCCGATAGTATCGTAAATCGATGTAATGTTTCAATTGTATTTTCGGCAGCTATTGATATTCAAGTGGATTTTAAATATCCCGATACATTTCACACAATATAGAAAATTAGAATTGTGCATTTGAGTATTTACTTTTTAAGGCAATAATTCTATCAAATTTTTGGCAGTTATTGCTATTGATGTCTCCATAGTTTTTAAATCTGATGTTTTTTTTTATGCAATATTATTTATTACAACAACCTAATCTCGAAACACTCATTTGAGGAGTCCTATTTGCGTGATTTTGTCGTTGATCTTTTTTCAGCAAAAGTATCTTGCAGAAAGATATTAGTGCTAAAGAATTTTATTGCAGATAGCTTGAAAAAATTCTGCCACAAGGGAGCGTATATCGCCAAAACAATCCTTAATTCACTTTTTCAAATTTATGTTGATATAAATTTTGGTTAATTTCATTGAAAAATAGTTATGTAAAATATTAAAACATATTCATATCTTGTTCATTATCAGATTTTTATTTGCCGAGCATATATAAGCTATTAATTCAAAACAGTATAAAAACTGCAAACAAATTATATAAATTATATCATAAATTGTTTACATGGTTTAATAGATGAAATAAGCTAATGAAAATTACTAAGGCAGAACTTAGAACATAAAATATAATACAAAATTTTAAAAAATGTAATGAGAGCACCATTTTTAAATGGACATATTCTAGTTCATATTTATATAGACTGCAGTGTGCATAGAGTTTTTAAAAAGTGCTTATTTTCGATTTGTGTTTTTTAAAAGCCCTTAAAGGTGCTTTTTTTATTTGGGGTTTGTAAAAAGTGCTTAATTTTCTATCTTTTAAAAAGACATTTTTTCTTTGCCTTGTTGATTGTAGTTCTAAATTACAAAAAATGTATGATTTTCACAATTTTCTGCGCAATATTTATCAGAAACTAGTTATTTTATCATGATTATGTAAAGTTTTTGAATTTTATTGATTTTTTGTTTATAAATTAAGAACTTTAAACGATAAGAAAGTTAATTTTTATTAGTGCACAGATCCTAATTATGATTTTCGTTTGGAAAGTGATTTAAAATATTTTTGAGTGCTTAAAAAGTACATAAAATGTGCTTATTTTTTGTTGAAAAGTCTGGCTTATGTGTATTATACTTCTGACCATAACTTAACAGATAATTTAATATTTAAGGTTGGACTATTCCAACAATGTAGACAAAATTTTGAGGAATTTCGATAAAAGCTGTAACACCAAAAAAAAGCATCAATTTACAATATTCTTTTCACAAATAAGTACCGTACCTTAAAAATTGTAACAATTCTTAAACTAAAGACAATTCAGAATTTTGATGCATTTTTTCATCTTCCATAATAAAATTCATTCCTATTTATTGTTTTTAAAAAATCATTTAAAAAGTTGTGAATTTTTCAACTTGTGTCTTTTTTGCATTGATTTCAGTAAATAGCATAAATTTTATAAAATTAGTATCAGTAATTGATAATAATAGTATGTGAGTGAATAATAATACAAGTTATTTTATTAATTTTTTAGCGCCTCATCTATAAAAATTTAGAATTCGGTATTGACCTTGACTCACGAATTGCTCTTGTGGGTCCCAACGGAGCTGGGAAAACTACATTGTTGAAGCTTTTGTGTAATGAAGTATGTATTATCCTTTAATTGGTTATTTACATGTAATTTTTGAACCTATTTGAAGGAAATTCTGGGATTCTAGTTTTCCAGAGCTATCCCGGATTTCTGTAAAATACATTTTGTGTTTCCAAAAAATACTTACTGGAAAATCATTTCCTTTAATCACCCATTTTTTACTTAATATTTTTCGTCGAAGGAGATATAAGAATGAGGGATGCCACATTTCCAGTTCAGCCTATTTGCTGCTGTTTTCCTTCATTAAATGAAGTCTTTAAATTTAAAAAATATATCCCTGTGCTTTTGGAGGTGGAAAAACTTCATATAAGACATTTTTGTGAGGGGTCAAGGATAAGAAACTCTTGCCACAACAGAGTTGAAGCTCAGACGTAAGAAAGTAATTTATGATTAATTTAAGCTTTAACAAGATTTAAATTTAGCATTAAATATGAAAAACTTTAAAAACATTATTTTAATGGGAAAAATACTTTACTATTTATTTAGTAACCTGAAACATTGTTAAAGTAAATTATATACTAATAGGTTAAGGCAAAACTTAATATATGTTGTTCTTAGGTTTATCTAATTAAATATTGTATAGAACTAAATAATTATATTGAATTAAATATATATTGTAAGTAGGGAAAATTACTTACATGAATATGGGCTTTATATAAAAATATGCTAATTACCAACAAATGGTTAGCTCGAGTAGATGAGTGCTAAGAAATTATAGGTGTTTGGTGCAAATGGAAAGTGTTTCTGTATTTGCTGTAACACTTCTATCAAATATGCTAACAAAGGTCTACAGTCATTATCACTCTTAATTCTCTGAGGCATGACAAAACAAGAGCTAAAGCTTTGGTTTTATAGCAGAGAATTCTCTTTTATTTTCAATAGTGCCAAACAAAAGTTCTTGTTGGATATTTCACCTTTTAAATTTGATGCAAGTGTCAAGATCTGTCTCTGCTCATAAAATTAAATATGGAATTACAAGAACTATAAAAAAAGAAAGAACAAATTGAAAAGACTTAGTTTCATTAAATATAGTTGAAAGCACCAACAGGTGTTCTGAAAGCATTTTGTCAGTACTAGCAGGCCTCCCAAATAGTCCACAATTTTCCCTAAAAACAACACAAAAAAATTACCACTGCATAAGTCCGCCGTCATCAAATAGAACCACATTTTACTCATTTCTTTCAACAAAAAAAAAAGTTCAACTTAATCAGAAATAATTTATTTTTTACTTGTGTAGTAGTTCTACGATCACGTAAGTTCCGCCTTTCATGAAATCACTCACCTTTGACGTCATGTAAAAGATCGATCATTTTCAAATCAATGGGGGCTATAAGCTGTGCACATTTGAGCTGAATAATGAGCTTAAATTTTTCCCCAAAAGTAGCACATGCTTAAGCTCAACTATTTTGACTTCGTGTTTTCTGCCAAATGCTTTGCTTTTTAGGGAATAATTTGTTTTAAGAATATAACCATTTTCTAGTTAAAATTGTCTAGAATATTCAAAACGTAAATAATTAAAGTCATGGAGAAATGTAAAATTTTAAAACAATGGCTTGGTATGAAGGATTCTAATGGGCACATAGGGTCTGATTGGGGCTTCCAGTGTGAAAATAATTTGATTTATGTGGTGTGTAACATGATGCCTGTAAATATTGATAAAGGTTTTTATGCTATAAAAAGGCATTCTGAATCAGAAAAACATAAGTCGAATTTTGCAGCGAAAGAAAAAACTCCAACCAGCTTTCATTATCTGGTCATACTTTGCTGATCATTGACTTTGAAGATCAAGCTTATAAAGCTGAAATAAATTGGTGCCTGAAAATGATCTCTTCTAATTTCCCACTTTCTACCTGCAAAGACATAGATAAAGTGTTTAATTGTGTGTTTCCTTCCTCAACTATGGAACACTTTTCACTTAATTCAACTAAAGCAACATACCTTATCACTGATGCGTTAGCTCCCCGTTTCAGAAATGAATTTTTGAAAGAGATTGAAAATTCCTTCTATGCTTTACACTTCGACGAAACTACAAGCAATGCTGATTTTAAAGAGCTACATACTAGAGTTCGTTTTTGGTTTGAAAAAAATTTTAAAAAAAAGTTTTTTTTCTTAGGCTATACAAAAGCAGAAAATGTAATGAAACATCTAAAATCTACCATAGATAATGCAGGTTTGAATTTTTCAAACTTGTTAATGCTTTCCAGTGATGAACCTAATGTTAACAAAGCCATGTTTAATGAATGAAGAAATAAAGTCAATTAGAGGAGTTGGGTTGCTAAATATGGGATTTTGCAACATACACATGCTACATAATGCATTTATAAAAGGTTTAAATGTTTTTGGGTGTAACACTTCTGATTTAGCTATTGCATTATTTCACTATTTTGATGGATGGCCTACCAAAAAAGATTTTCAAACTGCTTTGGTTGAAAAGAAACTTAAAGACCTTTGCTTTATCAAACATTCAACTTCGAGATAGAACTTACTTCAGAACCAGCCGTTATTAGAATTTTGGAACTTTGGGATGGAATTGTCCACTACTTTTTGAAATTTATACCTCTCAGAGAAAGAAAGTTAGATTCTGCAAGCTATTAAAAAAAAAAATTGTTTCTCTTTCAAAACTGCCACTTGTTAAAGCAGAGTTAAATTTTGTCTGTGCTAGTTCTGCAATTCTGACCAAATGTACTAGATTTTTTCAAAATGAAAAATCTTTAATGCAAGAACTTTATGATTGTATAAAAGTAAAAAAGAACTTTAAGATTGCTTAAAATTGCTGGCAGAGTATGCAAACTTTGACATATCTTTAAAAAAAGCATGTGTGTCTTAGGTGATATATTTGATCAAGACAGCCTTCAAAGGATAGAAAAAAAATTCTTGGCTGTCTTATTCAGTGCACAGGGATGAGATTTTTCCGCTATTTAGCGGATTTCCGCTTTTTTCACTTTTATCTCTTGAATTTCGGCTTTTTTTTTTTTATCCAAAATTCAGATTTTTCTAAAAATTTCACGTTTTTTTAATAAGTATTCTGCTTTTTCAGAAAATTCACCGATTTTCAAAGAGAAACAGAAATTTCAAACTACATAGCTACCAATCCTTTCTCATTTTTACTTATTTTAGCTATTTTCTCCCCTTTTACTCACAGCAGATAAGATTTTCCGAATTTTTTACCCGCCCTCCATATAGATCCGATTTTTATAGTTTAAACGACGCTGCTTCTGACAACCCTTTTAGAGGTCCCAAACCTGGAATCTGCTAATATCTCGATCTTATTCACACGATTTTCATATCAAACATAGCTTTTCATATTTGCGTGTTGCGATTCTTATTCATGCGATTTGAATATTGTACGTTGCGATTCTTATTTACGAGATTTAAAAATCCGATATTGTGATTCGTATTTACGCCTTCTTAAAAACCTATGTAGCGATTCGTATTCACGCAAGTTTAAAATTCAATGTCTTGATTTGCTCATGCGGTTTATAATATCAAACATTGATTTTTGTATTTATACGTGATTTTAAAATAAGGCATTGGGATTCGCATTCACGCATTCTAAAAATTGTGCACCATAATTCTTATTTATGCAATCTAAAAATTACGCATCATGATTCGTATTTACACGATCTGAAAATTATGAATCATGATTTGTATTAAAGCGTTTTAAAAATTTTATATTCCACTTTTTATTTTACTCATTTTCAAAACCGTATATCTAGTTTCATATTCATGTGATTTCAAAATCCATAATTGTTATTCATATAAACGCAATTTTGAGATCAACTATCGCGATTCTTGTAAGAAGTAATTATTTTTTTAATTAGTTACTATAAAGGTGGCTGTTTTTCTAACGACGATTATTAGTATATGTAAGTGTTACAACATCAGAGAAACTGGAAGGGAATATATTCAAAACTTACATTCTGTGCTTGCAAAGAAGAAAAAATAGGATTTGTCNTCAGCGGCCACCTTAAGTCCCTTTCTTTTGAGGGTAGTATTAAAATCTACCCTAACTGCCCCAGGTGCCACAACATGCAGGCTTCCCCCCAACATATACTGGACTGTCTAGGTCTGGACAAAAGGGACATTCTTAATAACACACTTATGGTGGCCGACTTCCTCCGGGTGATGAATTTCATGGACATTGTTTAGCCCTGCTAATTTTGGGGATAAGGAAGAGAAGAAATTTCATGCTGAATGTTTTTGAAACATTTTGTTACAGTTGGTTGTCATATTTTGATAAATGGGCCACTCATGACTGAATTATTATCTATATTGTCATGTATTAAAAATGGTAATATTAAAAAAGCAAACAGTTTGAAAAAGATTCAAGAAATTGCATCCTTGCTACCATTTCCTTCAAAGATGGGAGATGTAATAGATGAATGGAAACTTCTACAGTTAGAAGTTATTGAAGAAAAACCAATTGAGAAGTTTTAGAGTCACATATTTGAAATTCAAGTCTTAAATGGTAGGGTTAAATATATGAATATTAAAAATATTATTACAGCAGTATTGACAATTGCTCATGGAAGTGCAGATGTTAAAAGAGCTTTTTCCAAATCTGGCAGAATATTATCAGAAGAGAGAGCGTTAGAACACTGAATGCAAATTTGACTGTAGCTGGTGCTTTAAAAGCATATAATAAGCCTGAAATGGTTCCAATCTCAGAAAACTTGTTGTGTTTAGCATGTGTTGCTTACAAAAGCTATAATCTTTATTTAGAATTAGAGAAAGGAAAAAGATAGAATCGAAAAAGAAAAAAATGCTAGAAGAGCTTAAAGAGGCTGAAGAAAAAGAGAGCATGCTTAAAAAGTCTGAAATGGATATTTCCATTTTAGAAGACAAATTAAAAACTGCAAAGAAAGAAGTCAGATTCCACAACAAATATTGATACATTACTTAAAGAAGCAAACAAAAAATTAAGAACCTTAGTGGCCAACAATATTGCTGAAGCAAAAGTTGCACAGGCAATGATAGATGGAGTTCTAGTCACAAAAGAAGACTGGAAAAAACAATTAAAACGTTAGATAGACAGTTACATAAAAGAAAAGATTCTGAGATAACAAGTTTTTTTTTTTTTTTCAAAAAAGCCTCGACAATAACTTCATATTCTTCAATAAATGTATAATCTTTCAAAGAATATTACAGTATATATATGCGTATAATTTTATCAAGTTTAATGATCGTATTTTATCTAACATACTTGCTGAAAAATTATTTTTATAGTACTTAAAAAACGATTGAGTGCATTTTATTTTTAATATTTTAGATTAGTATAAGGATTATAAAAAATGTTTATTTGTTCAATGTGGATCAACTCTGCTTTTATAAACTTTGGACCCCATTTCCACAAAAATGTTACCCATTTTTTCCAATTTTTTGCTCTAAAAGTGTTGAGAGCCCTGTCTTAATATTTTTCAAGAAATCCAATCGAAGTGGTGTTGCAAAACTTAACCTTGGTTGAGTAATTGGTCTTCAATGTAATTGAGGTATGTAATAAGACCTTGGAGACTCTTTCAGGGATTTTGGTGTTCAGTCATTATCACCCATAGAAAATTAAACATTTTAAACGCATTGATCTCAAATATTATGAGTTTTTCAGTATTCCATTAATGAAATAATACTGCTGGAACTTTCTGCTCTAAGAAAAGTTATTCCGAAATTAAAAATATTATATTTTATTATCATGGTTTTACCCACTCTACAGGAGATTACTGGATTTTGAAAGTTTCTCCTAACCTCTCTCCTGCTTTTTGTAAATTAAATTTCCTAAGTTTAACTATTCTTTTTTTGGCTTATTCTTTTTGCATTATTTTATTAGATGATAAAACAATAGAAACNACTTTCTGCTCTAAAAAAAGTTATTCCGAAATTAAAAATATTATATTTTATTATCATGGTTTTACCCACTCTACAGGAGATTACTCTCTCTCCTGCTTTTTGTAAATTAAATTTCCTAAAAAAATATATATATATTTAAATAGAATTTTTGTGTAAATTAATGTTTGCTTGAATATTTAAATAAACATTGCTGATACATAATGAAGTGAGCCTCTCTTATAAAAAATCAGCTTAAATCTTTGTTTTGTTCAGAAATTTTCAGTTTATTTTTATTTAAAAATCCATTTTTAAATTGTAAAAAAGAAGAAAAAAATCTTTGAGGATATAAAGGCTTATCTTTGAAGATATAAATGCTTATTACTATCCAAAATTATGAGTAAACATGATACATAGCATTTCAAGTTCATTTAATATTAATCAGAATTGAAAAATATTCCTGTTTGCTCAATAAAAAATTCCATTTGTGTAAAATATTTAGCTCAACAATTACCATGAAATTTATGTTTCGAAAATCTACTGAAATTTTTCCTATCCATGTTGGCAGCTATGTATTTATTCTTGCGTGGTAAAGTTTGCCTTTATAGTACTTAACTATAAGTTTTTAGTTAATTTATAAGTTTTTAGTTGGCCATTTAACGTTTTTAATATAATGGGGTGTGTCTGTATTAAATATATACACATACTTCCAAATGATATAGATTCTTACACACACATGCATTTCATGATTGGATTTAATTTTATTCTGCAGGTTGCACCATCTGAAGGTTTAATAAGGACTCATTCCCATTTAAGAATAGCCAGATACCATCAAGTAAGCTTGCATTTCTATTTTTTTTCGTATTAATTTATTTTTGCTTAAATTGGGGGTGCAAGACGTATGACTCGCGGGAGGGATATTTTAACATGCCCAAAATACAAAATATTGCAAAAAAATCAAAAATTGCTCAAATGTATACACAATGGATTATTCAGATGTATACAGATTTTTCATTCAAAAGTACCTTACTTGATAATTCACTGAATCTTCATTCATTCTCCCCTATTCATAATTTTTTATTTCATACAGTCTTGAATAATTGTGTAAAATTTAATGAATAAAGGTACTTCAATCACCCATCGTAATTGCACCGTCAGATTTCCATACATTCTAAATGTCCACAACAGCAATGAAAATTTAGTGGTCCAAAACTGAACATACCATAACTGGTCAAATGAACTTTTGAATAATACTTATTGTATACCTATTTCTACCAAAAGCGGGCAAACAATTTATTGCTTTATAAATGATCACTAAAACTTAAAAATGAATGTGATAACCATCTGATTGATGATTTTAAAAATAATGATGTTTTTAAAAATAAAGCAACAGTGGCTTGATGTTTTTAAAAATAAAGCAAAAATTTGCTGCTTTTAAAAGTTTTATAATTTTATTGATTATTAGAAGAAGAAAAAAACTTAATACAGTAATGTATTTTTTAATTTGTTAATACTTAAGAAATTTGAAAAATATTACCATTTAAAGAAAAACAGTAAGAAAGCGAAAAATAAACTAACTGAAATATACATATAATCACTAAATTTTATAGTGGATAAAATAACAAAATAAAAAACATTAACTTTAAAAAAAATTATATATTAAAGATTAAAATTTATTGTTAGGAGAGGTGACACAGTATTATAATTTTTAATTTTATTTAAATTTGACGTAATTTTGAGTTTAATATTGAGAAAATTACAAAGAAGGAAAATTAAGTTTAAAAATTATAGAAAAACATAAAATTTTGAAATCTGTCAATGAAGTCAACATGAAATCAAAGAATTGGCACTAATATTATTTTAAGTCCTGCTCCTACAAGTCTTTTGAATGAAATTATTCAATTACAGATTAATTCGCTAATGATTTTAATTTAAATTGGTAATATTTTAAATCATACAAAAATAAAAGAAAACGAAAGATCTGCAGGAAAAAAAAATTCATTTAATAACTAATTAAAAATGAAAATAATTTTATGTTTTTGAAATTTTTTTAAGACTGAAATAAAATTATCAATTTGTTATAACTATGATTGTTAACAAATCATACGATTATAAAACTAAAATTAATATTACATTTTAATGAGTGAAAATTTACAAAATTATCATTTAACTGAAGGAAAGTAATAAATTCTGTATAACTTTTAGAAAGAAGCAGCTAGTAACTTTAAATCGCTGGTATACCTTTATAATTAATAAAAAATTTTGATGGATACTTTCTTTTAAAAATTGTTATCTGTAAAATAATGCCTTCTGAGGTAATAAAAAAATATTTAAAATGAAACTGGTATACTAAATGGAAAAATTTTAAAATAGTAATTATCAAACCATTAGTATACACATAATTTATAAACTTAATATATAAGCTTTTTCTCTATATGCAATAACATTGTACTTTAAAAATTCTGTAGAGCGCCGATTGTCCGAATCCTTATTATCCGAACTAAGTCCGATTCTTCTTCTTTTTTTTTTTTTTCTTTTTTTGTAAAGATGTCAGTTTAGACAGTAGAAGACTGGTGCCGAGATACTGAAAACGACCCAGGATTTTAAATGATGAAGAAATTGTTGCTTAAATTTTGAATGAAAGTCAGAAGTCCACCGACGAAGAGGAAGTAGGTGATCAAGTTCAAGATCGTGGACCTTCTCATATACCCCATGGCAGAATTGCGGTGACATTGTCGCAGAACATTACAGAGTTTTTCCTTTCTGCATAACTTTTCAAATTTTTTTGTTGTTCAAAGATGTCTTTCATGCGCGTCGAAGAGGAATGAAATAATCATGATTTTTCTATTATCATTTGAGATTTTTTTTTTTTAAAAATCGGTTCAGCTAGAATTTCAAATTAGTAATATAAAATTTTAAAAAATAGTTCGCTATAGAAATGAAGATCTTTCTTTCGTTATCTGTTTTTTCTTTAAAGAACACCATATTTTACATACACTTATTTGAGTATGTCTTTTTCAAGGAATCCTATTCGAGTGATGAGGAAATAATGAGTGCATTTTTCCGCCTACAAAATTAGAGCCGATTTTATTAGAATTTAAAAAATATTATTTTTACAATTAAATGCTTTTATACATTTTCATTCTATAATTTCTTCTGTAAGCATAGTGCTTCTGTTACTTTAAATAAGTAATTATTATAAATAAAAGTATCTTAAAGTGAAATATGAATGCTAGGGAACTTTGCAGAAAGCCCAAAAAAATTCTGCCATAGGGCTCATATAGAAGCATGCAATTCGTTAGATATATTGCAATGAATTGGCTAGAACGTCAAAATGATGTTGATCCAGTTCAGTTGATTTATTTAAAAAGAATGAGGGATGTGGCTGCTCAAAAAAGACCATCTTCTTTAAAACAAAAGTCTTTGCTGGATTTCTTTTGCAATGGAAAATAAAGAAAAATGTGGTAAAATCAGTAATTAACAAAAAAAAAATTCTAAAAAGCTGAAATATGATAAAAATTATTCAAAATGAAAATAAAGAAAAATATTTGAAAATTGAAAAAAAAAAATCTTTTAAACACACCAGAGCTAATTTAGATAGAACTGTCTGTCCTAAGCCTAAAATAAGTGTGAAGGGAAGTTGATGCATAAATAATAATCATTTAAACTAGATTTTAAACAACTTTCCACTTTTCAAACCACATTCGGTCCCGAGCAGTTTGGATAATCAGCGCTCTACTGTATTTCATTTTTGCTTAAATGTAATAAAATCTAGTTGCTGTGTATTTTAGCATACTTACTGTGTAGGTTCTTGAAAAATTTGATTTTAGGTCCTTGAAAGGCAATAAAAAGTCCTTGAATTTCTTTTTAGTTATTTACTTATTTATTTATTTATTTTTTTTTTTTGAAAATTTAGTGGGAATTGTGTACTTTTTTAATTGTTTTACTAAGTATGAAATTTCTTTTTCAGCATTTGACTGATCTCCTTGATTTAGAAATATCAGCCCTGGAGTATATGATGAAAAGTTTTCCAGATATCAAAGAAAAGGAGGAAATGAGAAAAATTATCGGCAGGTTCGGGCTGACTGGCCGACAACAGGTGTGTAATTCAACAAACTTCTACACATTCCTGTTATGTACAGTTCTCCGGTTGTGTTGATGGTTGACGGAATGTGAACAATAACGACTTTCTTAAACCCGTAAAATATTTTGTGAAATTCCGGTGTGTCCTGACGCTTATGTTATGCTTCAAGGCAATGTGTGAGCAGGCTTAATACTCCATGAAGTTAGGTAGCGTCATAAGCCAGCTAGCGAAATCCTCCTAATTCATTTCCTTCTTTAAGTTTTTCCAGCAATTAGAACTAGTATAGTTAGCCCAATATAACTCACTCAAGAACTAGTGTGTTTCCTCTTTTAGTATATTGTGAATAATATGTACAGGGAATTTTTTTTCCAGATCAGAGTGGTAACCCTGTGTGGCGTAACTACCACTATTATTAAGCATCAATTCGCTAGTATATATAAGACATGCTAACTTGATTTAATCTTGAGGGACCTTTTGATAGATGAAGGTTGGCATTGTCGACATTACATTTCCCCACATTGGTGACCTGCAGATGTGATATGATTATGGCTACTTCGATGGATGGTCCACATCGAACACTTGATTTGCTATTTGTGACTGTGTTGTCCTCCTCACGCTGTTGCTTCTCAGTGTCATATGTACACAACGGGATCCTGCACACACTCGACTACTAATGGAGTGACCACACACAACCATGATCTTAATACAGCTCTCTTAGCTGAAAGCTCAAACTCCGGTGACCTTAATCCAGCTCTCCCAGTCTTGCACAAATACAGCAACTAGTGGTATCCGTTCATAGAATTTTATCCCATATAAAATTCTGGTGTTATTGTAGCGTAACTTCCACTACGATTATTAAACATCTATTCACTAGTATATAAAACGTGCTAACTTGATTCAATCTTGAGGTACCTTTTGATAGATGAAGGTTACCGACAATACATTTCCCCATACCTGTATATGTATTTTCTTTTTCAATTGGATAGCCTATCTTTTTATCAGGTTGCTAAAAATGTTTTTTTATATTATGGAATCCTGGTTTATCATGCCTGCCGAGTCTCTTGCTTTGTAACTAAGACTCCTGTATTTTACAACTATCTCCTATTTGCCAGTATATTCTCATATTTGTTGAAGAAATTTTTAAAAAAAAAATTTTTTTTTTTTTTTGGTAATAAAATATCTGCTGATGACAAAATTACTATGGTGCTATTGCCAGTACTGCAGTATGTTGAGTTTTTATAGCTTAAGCAATTATAAATAATGGTTTTAAAAAAATATGTTAAGATTTATATACATATTTTTCACTTCACTAAATGTAAGTGCTTATATTTCCAATTTTGAATTTCTTTTTTTGACTGGCATGATTATGCATGATGTATCAAAACTTTACGCGTTGCCTAAAAATGCCATTGGTAAAATCTGTTATTTTATTTCTCCAATGTTGGCAGGTATTGTTTATTCTTTTGGAACTACTTCTTTTCGAGGGTCGTAAAAACTGAAATATAGGTCCTAATTTTAAATTAATAATTTAGTGAGGAGGCATATACATCTTCAAACATACCACATAAGCTCGCAAAAGAATATGATTTTGATTTGTGTGTTTATCTTTTTAGGTGTGTGCCATGAGACAGTTGTCTGATGGCCAGCGTTGTCGTGTTGTGTTTGCATGGCTGTCATGGCAAGCCCCTCACCTCCTCTTACTTGATGAACCTACAAATCATTTAGACATGGAGACAATAGATGCACTGGCAGAGGCAATTAATGATTTTCAAGGAGGGATGGTCTTAGTGAGTCACGACTTTAGGCTAATCAGTCAAGTACGTATTTTGTAGTTGTTTTTTTTTTGAAGTTGCTAATTGGAGAATTATTGGAAGTGGGAAATTTCTGTTAAGATATTGTAAAAAAAGAGGGGAGAAGCCAGGACATGGTGCATAGTGTTTTTAAATAGTGCTTAATTTTTTCCTTTTCCAAAATGAGATTTTTCCTTTACCCTGTTGATTTTTACTACGAAATCTGCAAAAAGAAACAGTTCACATTGTTCGATTCAAATTTACAATTAATTCGACCCCAATCTATTCTACCCTATGCACCCTGAAGTATGTGAAAATTGAAGTAAAATAGATATGCATAAAAGTTATAGTAGGAAGAAACTCGAAGCTAAGGTTGAGTATGTTTTGCCCAGCTAAGAATGTTTAAACATGCAGTCACATCTGAAAAGCTTCATTAATAATAGGATAATATTGACCCTATTTAATTCTAAAATTTTATGTCTCAAAGTATGAATTTTCGAATTGTTGGTGAATATACATTATCTGAAATGATGGATGGGTTAAGCATAAATTGGGTTGCACTACCTGTGGGAGCTTTTAAATAAAACATATTCTCATTCTACCATTTATGTCTAAAATGTAATTTTCCATTTAATTTTATTAAGTGTTTATTTTTTCTCTCTGATTTATGGGTGATTCTTAGGAAACATGACAATTCGAACCAAAACATTTCTTCGCAATCTAATTTTTTTTTTTTTTTTTTTTTTTTTTTTTTTTTTTTTTNTTTTATTTTTTTTTTTTTTTTTTGTATATTTATTTAGTTACATTTATTAATATCTTGCAGAAAGCAGTGTAGTTTATTAACATTTGCTCAAGAAAAAAATAAAATAAAAATCCACCACATTTTGAATGCCAGGAAAATGACATAGTACCTTAGAAGTTTCAGATTTGCAAGTGCTGAGCCAATTACGCCGATCCGCGCCAATTGTGAAAACTTGCGCCTACATGCTCCAAATTGAAGTAGTTGGCTTAAATTGCACCAATCTGCGCCAAAAAAGATATTCTCCCATGGGTATCACTAAGTCACAATTTTGCAGCAACCAAGCTACTGCGACGTGGGGGATTGCTCTGGATTCAGTGTGAAGGATTCTTGCACTCTCATGTGCAACTCTGCTTCATTTTGCAAGATATTCTCAATTTCAGGCTTAATTTTCTTCCTAAAGAAAAGGAACTGAAACTTCTCAAATTTTCGGGGACCAACTAAACATTGCCAAAACTAAACATTGAATAAATATTGAATAAATTTTTAGGTCTTTTCCAAACTGAGACACCATTGATTCACTTGCTGTTTGATGAAATGGTGTCTCTAGTTAAAGCATTGTTAAGGCGTTTTTTAAAGAGTTCTGCTTTTCTTAGTTTGTCAGGAAAGGACTTAAAATCATTAGATGTTGGACTAGATGGCAATGACATCCTTATCTTCAGAAAAAAAATCTGTATTTAGGTGCCAGGTCTTTTTACTTGGCATGTGTAAAAAAGTTATTAAGAGAATTGCCTCTTGAAAATAGGTTACTGCACCAACTTAAAGTGTTGCATCCTATAATGAGAATGGAAGACACTTCTATTAAGTCAATAAGATATCTGGCAACAGTAAACCCATCCATTATAAAACCTGAAGAGGCATCTTTGTTTCTAGATGAATGGACGAGGTTACATGAAGAACCAGAAGGTTATTCTTCTGACGCAAATGAATATGCACCAATTGATGTGTTTTGGAAAAACTATTTTGTGAAGAAAGATAATTTGGGAAATATCATATATCCTCTTTTAACAAGGCTTTTTAAAGATTTTTTGTGCATACCACATGGGAATGCTGATGTTGAAAGAGGTTTTAGTGTGAACAAAAAGCTACTTGACAATAGGCCAAGTTTAAATTTGCATAGTGTTAATAGTTTGAGACAAGTTGTGTCACATCAACAAAATAGGGGGTTTAAATAATTTTAAAGTTGACAAAGATATGATTAAAGTGGCTCGTGCAGCATTTAAAAATTATTTTGCTTGGTTAGAGGTTGAGAAAAACGAAAGCAAAGAATGTGAAAACACTAAAACTGAGGAAAGCAGATTGAAAGCTGCTGAAATTGATTTTAAAAAAAAATTGAAGGCTTCTCAGGATCTTTTAGCCACAGCTGAAAAAAAATATTAAAGATGGGTAAAATAATAAAGACATGTCGATTATAGAAAGCAGACAAATCCTTTTATCCGAGGCTAAGTCGAGTATTAAATATGCTCCAAAACCATGTTTTGCCACTTGCACCACTGAAGTTTGAAAAAAGTCATTTTAAGCTATTAGTAAGTAACAGCTAATTAAATAAGTTTTAAAAGATCCTTTTTTACAGAAAATTTTATTAGAGGTTTTTACTACGTTCTTTCATTTTTAATTTTAGAATTATCTGTAAAATGTCTGATACTAATAAATTGTGTGTAATTGTATTGTAGGTGGCTGAAGAAATATGGGTTTGTGAAAACCAGACTGTAACAAAATGGCAAGGGACTATTCAAAGTTACAAAGACCATCTACGCAAGAGGATATTAAGAGATATAGAAAAGCCACTCTAAATGAAATTGAATTTTTTTTTTCCCTGCAATGCTGTGCTTTTTCTTCATCCCTATTTATTGTATTTTTTTTTTTTTAACTCAAGGAATTAAGTTGTATTTATTATGTTTTATACTTTGACAAATACTTTTCTTTTTGCTCATTCAATTCTGGTGTATTTAGAACGTCTCCCACATTGTGTAAAGACTCGATTTATTAAAATCTTGTATTGTATTGAATTCATTTTAATGTTTCATTTTTACTATTTGAAAGATCATTCCGAGTCCATTTTTCATAAAAGCTCTTGGATCGCCGTTTGCTTCTAAGTTTTAACAACCAATGAGGAAAATGGGTTCTGCCTACCTGCTACAGTTAAACAGTTCCTGTCTACGAACAGACTAAAAGAGCAAAGCAGAGTATAATAGAAAAGACACACTGTATACTAGCCAGGAAATATAAACTTGGGGGGAGGGGTTCAAGAAAATTCGGTTCTTTATCAACTGAACTTTTTCCAGTATTTTTTTTTCTACAAAAAAAGGGTGTGTAAATAAATGCTTGACATTGTTGCATATTTTTAGGATTTCAATTGCTCCTTAAAATTCTTTAACCCTGGTTTTTAATCAGAATCGGCTCCATAACCAATCTCCCTCCTTGATCTTCATTTATAAAGTTCAAATAGTTTAGGATTGCATGTAAAAGCTTAAATAATTTTAACTTAAGCTTATTAATTTCTATAAGAGATGAACTAAATTTTTCTGGTATGCACACATAGGTTTTTTAAAATTTCTAAGATTCTCCGTGATAAAACTCTTGCAATTTTCTGATTCCTGAAAACTGGAAGATATAAGGAAATTTTAATCGCTGGTCCCCAGTAACTAAAACACTTAACACACATTTTCACTATTAGGTTTGTATATGCCTATTAAGATTTTTTTTTTAAAAAGAAACTAATTTACCTGGAAAAGTAGAATTACAAAGAATGTGAAATGATGAGATATGCTTTTTTTGTGATAACACAAACTTAAAACTTGAATTTCCTTTACATGGATTGCTGATCCTGGCCACTGCCAATAGTTATTTTTATGGTAGTCAGAGTTTACTTTTTGTGGTGTTGAAATCAATAGACTGTCCTAAATTTTGAGCTCTGCTTAAAAGTGTGGTGTTTATTTGTAAAGTTCATAGAAATTACTTGATCAAGGTGAGAAGTTGGATACAACAAAATGGTAAATAATAGACTTAATGAATAAAACTAGACTTGAGGCCGCTCGATCAGGAGAAAGACGACCCCTGATGTTATTCTATGGACAGTTCAATGCTACATTAAATAGTCAGTTTTCAAGATAATAACGTTCTGTTTTTTGGAAACGAAAGAAAATTAAAATCTTAATTAATGCATGGTTGCCACAGGCTACTAGAATGAGACTATTTGCTACTATTTTCGGCCTTAGGCTACTTTTTTTGCCTGAAAAGGCTAAAAAAGCAACTATTTTCAGGAATAGGCAACTATTAGGAGACTTTTTTACTCTTAGCGAAGTTATTTTTATACTTATGTATCGTAGACCTACTGTTACTTTGCGATTGCTGCGCAATCGCTGTTATCTTCAACTTTCGTTCTGAACTCAATAGATCAATGAAAAGAAAATATAAATTAAAAAAGTTTCTTCATTGGTTTTTTTCAATTATTATTTTTCATTTTAAGCGATACAATTTAATAGGGGTATTTTGTACTTAATTTTGTTATAAAAAGTTAGTTTTTTTTTTCAAATTTATTTAATGTAGGTAAGTATAATAATTTGATTATTTTTAAACCAATAAATGTTCAGTTGTTTTTATTTATAGAAAAATTTAAATGCAAAATACCTTTATTTAATTTGCTTTTATTTTTGAGAAACTGAAAACAAAGTTTTAAAAAAATTTGGCTATTAGTTAAAAAAACAAATTTTTTTTTTTAAATTAAATAAAGAGTTAAGTAATGTTTGGACGCTTTTTAATTTAACATTAGTACTTAAAGTATTTTTTTTTTTTTAATTTTATTAAAATTCCTTCAATACTTGTTTGTTTTATAATTTGTTAGATAGTCAGTGTCATTTTTAAAGAAATAAATCTTTAGTCAATTTTATTTTCAAAAACGAAAATAATAATAAATAAGTAAAAGTATTTATGCATTTATTCAGTACAGAATTTGACCATTAGTTAATACTACTTTATATTATTTTTAATAATTGAATAAAAAAGGGTCTAATGATGTTTCAAAAGCAGGGTTTTTTTTCCAACAAATTTTTAAAAAAAATTTTTTTTTAAACTGAACTTTTCTTTGGTTTGTTTTCTACTTTCGTTTTTTTTTTCTTCTTTTAATGCATGTATGTAAAATATTTTGTTACAGTATTATTATTTTTAAACCAATAAATCTTAAATCATTTTTAATTTAAGAAAAATTAAATAAATCTTGGGTTTGCCTTTACTTTGACTTCTTTATTATTTTAATTGAAATAATTAAGCAATGATATTGATATTATAGTAGAATATGTTTAGAATTAATGTTTTCTTTTGCAATAGATTTATTCCTTTTTATTTATTTTTGATTGATTTCCCATTGGTAATTTCTGACATCAACCAGTCCTTATCATAGTATTTGACAATTAAGCTACAATTTTAATTATTTGGCTACTATTTTTGATAAATTTTTGCTCCTGTTCAGGCAACTATTTTTATTGTTTTAGGCAACTATTTTCATGCTTGAGCCTACTAAAAGCAACTATTTTTGTTCATTTTTTACTGTGGCAACCCTGTTAATGTGTCTGGATTTAAATTTTTTTATTATTTTTTAATTCAAAAAACTTATTGCATTTTCCAACAATTTTTATAAATAGTAATTTTTCTCTCATCGAGTCCTTAATTTGTGGAAATAAGGTTAAATTCTTATCTTTCATTTATAATGAAGAAAAAAAGCAGAATTATTTTTAAGCTAGAAAGAGAACAATTAATTTTAAGACATCACGAAATTTGAACTTCAAATCAAAGCTGAGTTATTGTGCTGCCACCTACGATATAAGCGTCTATTTAGCTAATTATGCGAAGTGAAAAAAAGCGGTCATTAATTTTTTAAAGGAATGGTGGTTCATTCGAAAGAAAGTAGCCAAAATTTAGCCCTCTCCTTACTGGTAGAATAAGTAATTTTCCTTACTTGTAGAAGTTTCTTAATGTTTTGTGAATTTTCTTTTGGAAAACGTTATATGTCTTTGGAAAATTTGCAGAAGTTTTTAATAAATTAGTTTGGAGTTATCGGTAAATATTTAAAGACATTAATTTTTAAATTTTCTCTTTGTACTCTCAATGAATTCTATTTAAATGGAGTTGACAAAATTTGCATTTGCCCATACATTTAAAACATGAATTTACAGGAAAAATTATATGAAGCTTTATTCGGATTAAATTGATTCTGCGATTCATACAGCTTGCAGGTTATTAGTAAAATACATTTTTTTTTTATTTCAACAAATAGTTAATATTATTTTCTTCTGAAAAGTAAAAATATGAACTGTTATCAATTTTTTTATTACTCGCAATATTTATAGCAAAAAGGCAAACACTCAAAAAAAAAAATGCTGATTATTTAATGGAATAATCCAATTTCGATGGAATGAGAAATTACATGATTTAATAATTTTAAATTAAACTTTTGAAACTAGATTCATAAAGTTATCTTCAGAAAATAACACATGATTTACCGCTTCAATAAATAATATATATTCTTATTTTTTATCTATAAATAAAATATAGTTACAAAAAATAAATTGTTTAATCTATAGAAGAAAATATTTAAAACATTTGATTTGATTCATTCTCTGAAATGAAGCTTTCTAGTTTTTGTCTGATTAAAATAAATCTTTATTCCTTAAAATTAGACAAATATCCTACTTTACAAAATACGCGTATTTTTATATAAATTTTTGAATTTCTTTAGTGAGGAATATGTTACTTTACATATAGGTTATGTAATAAAAAAAGTATAAGAATGAAAGATAATACTAATTTCGTTCGATTGAAATATTAGGTTCGAGATTAGATTTATATTTCACAGATGCTTACAACTACTAGAATGAGTTACGAAATATTTAATTTCGAGAAATTAAAATAGTAGCAAAAAGGGAGCCTATCAATGTTTGAGTATCAAAACAAAAAAGAGTAACAAAATTCTGAGTATCTTTAGAACTTTCTATTTGCTTAGTTTAATTTTAAGTTAATAAAGATTATTGAAATTATATATAATTTACCAAATTACAGCCTTGCAAATGAAAAAAGAACTCAAAATGTTTCAAATGCAATTTTAGAATTTTGAACGAAATTAAAGTAATTGTCTTTGAAGGGTAATGTACAGGGTGAAATATTACCTTTCAAACTTTGTTGCCCATTTTTTCATAGAGTCATTATGTTGCTTGATTTATTAAATTTTTTAATAAAACTCATTTATGAACCTTTAATTCAGGGCTATATGGATGTATATGTTACCGGGACAAAATATGAAACACCAGCATTGCATGAGATGCCAGGCTTTTTTTTTTATGGCAAAGTACGAAATATGAGAATTATGACTTACTTTCCCTTGAATGTAATATCTAGGCATTCTATAGAATGACAATTGATATTTAGGCAAAGTAAGAAAAATGTGGTACTGATAAGGCTATTCTGTAAATTACGTGTTTCCCCCAAAAATTCACATGTTTTTCGAAAAAAGTAAGGAGAGTGCCATTAAATAAATGCATTCAAAATGCGTCGTTGGATAAGACGAAATTTATCCATTGAACAATTTATGCCTTATGGAAGGAAGAAAAAAAATTTCATATACAAATGAGGAAATGAAAATTGATCTATTTGCTGTGAAATGGTAAGCTTCAATGACGTTTGAGTTGCATTTCATTACTTTCGAAACGAATCGAAGATATATTTTATACTTAGCAGGTTTTTCACTATATAGAATGCAATTGCCTGCAAGTCTTAGGCGTTCCAATTCACTGACGACTTTAGGTATAACAACGCCTAGACATTCTATAGAATGTTGGCTTTCAAACTTTGCCGGTAACATACATATCAAATGGGGATAGAGTGCTCACCTGCAAATGAGATGGTTTCGAATCCCAGCGATAGCTGGTGGTACGAAATCCGCTCGCAATGTTAGACTAGCCGTAGTAGGTTTTCGTGGTTTTCCTCTCCGTCTAACGCAAATGCGGGTTAGTTCCTC